GCTGAATGGTGTTGTGGGAGAACTTGATCTCCCAGCAATAAGGCTGTCCTGGAACTGCGCCTTTTTCCACGAAATTGGCGCAGCAATGGCGCAGAAGAACAGCACCACGAACATTTCTGGAGCTCGCAGTTGGCACTGTTGCAAGCTACCCACAGCCATATTGGTGGTGGGCACTACTCGTTCAGCATGCTCTCAGGCACTGACAATTCGGCAACGGAAGCAAGCCTCAACAAAATGTTCACGACCTTCTGGCCGTTGCAACTCTTCGTGCAGTTAACAGCCTTCTGGGCTCACGCGCGCAACGTGCTGCTTCAGCCAACACACGTTCCGGGAAGGAGCAATGATTGGGCAGACGACCTCAGCGGTCGGTTGGCCCGATTCAGCCATCGCCCTGACATTCGCGTACGCTTCAACCATGCGGGTCTTGCGCTGTCAGGCAGAGGCATTCAGCTGTGTCCGATAGATGCGCCCTGGCGCCCGGAACATCAGCTGCCTCCAGCAGCGCATAGCCGAGCCTTATTGCGTTCCAACATGCATTGCGACCCAATGGCCAACCTCGCCCTGGCAACCAGAATGCACATGCCTTAACAATTTGGTTATCAGGCTGTGAATTTGCGTGTGCGTTTCCAGCGGTGAAGTGAGTCCGCTGTGCTGCACGCCACCAGGACAATGTAGGTCGCCTGCTGGCGGGAGGACAAGCCGCGACGCACGAGCCTGCTGCCCAGTTGGGGACGGTGTCGAAAAGTGGAAGTGGGATCTGCAGGAGTGAGAGTGCCAACTTGCTTACTTATGCATAGGGACATCCTTCTCACGGTCAACATTAATAGCAGCAACATCAGCAGCAAGCCGTTGCTGCAGAAGAAACAGGACTTTTAGTCTTGTTAGAGATAAGGTCGGCTTTTTTGGTGCCAGAGGCTTTCTTAAAAAAGACTTGACAACAGGGAGGGTTTGCAGAGAAACTGGGGCTCTCTTGGTCGTCTTACTTGCTCCAATTTCCGGCAACGGCTCGTTTGGCTGCAATTCCGGCACCAGCAGGCCTTGGGGCAGCAACCGAGGCAGGTAGCAAACTGGATATGCCAGGCGCGCTGTGTTTTGTCAATACGGCCGCCTTATGCGTCTCACGACGCCCCTGCCACCCTCGCCGGCCCACACAAACTTGTGGCAGTAGTCTGTCAAGCAAGTGCATTCTCCGACTCAATCTCCGAGTCGCTGCGCTTTCCTGCCACCCTCGCCGGCCCACACAAACTTGTGGCAGTAGTCTGTCAAGCAAGCGCGTTCTCCGACTCAATCTCCGAGTCGCTGCGCTTTCTGGCAAAGTACTGCCAATTCCCTCTTTCAAGTGCAGGACTGCCCTCCTTGCCTTCTTGCTGGCACAACATTCTCGAACCACACGTCGCCATCTTCTCTGGGCAGCTCAGGGATGAAGGACTTTCAGTGCTTCAAGATCCAGGTAACAACCCTCGGGCGCCTGTTGGGCTGCTCTTGCTTGTTCGTGATCTTCCCACACTGACGCTGTTAGGGAGGGGATCACCTAGCTCGTCAGCAACTCGGGCTTCGACACTGGTTTGACAATGGAATGCAAGCTTGCTCACGTTTCTTACCTTCTGCACGAAGAATCAATTTTGCCTGACCGTACGGCAGCTTGGTTCACATTGGCCGAGAGCTCATGCAACCTTCCTTGACACGAGGCCTTGATGTGTTCAAGGTTGACAAAACCGACTTGCGCTGCAACGTCTCTGAACAGGGTCTCTGAATCAATGGGGACAGCAATCAGGTTACGTTCCGGCCGTATCGCTTGTGTTGACCAGCCTGACCAATCCTTCACTGCGCTCCAATTTGCATTTTGTCCTCAAACAGCGTAAGAGCAAATGCACTGTCGCTGATGCAGACATAGGGAAATCCTCCACCGGGAATGGGCAGTGGAAACAAAGGGCAACCTCGTCAAAGCCTGAGCTGCGTGTATTGGTGTAAAGCAATTGCCAAGCATCTGGAATGCCTCAGAAAGGTCCTGACTGAGAAAAAGACCGGACGGGAATCGCCACAGCCATCTTGCACGGTGACAACAAACGCAAGGCATGGTCTGTACCACCTGAATGAGTAAACCCTTTCCTGCCGTAGGACGCCATGATTGGGGCCAGTGTGGATTGCCGGCTGACACATCTGACTGCAAACGCATCCGGCAACTTAAAACCAAAAACCCTCATCCAGATTGGGAGCAGGCCTGCATCGAGGACATGTCCAACTGTTCCTTGCTCAAAACCAAAGAATGGCCCAAGAAATGCAGCACTCACGTTCTTTCACGGTCGCACGTGAGCCCTGGGTTGTCCATTCGGCCAAAGATCACCAGAGATCTGTCCGTGCAAATCGGCAGCATCGGAACTCCTTCTGAGAGCCCTGCAATCATCTGATATCCACATAAGCCAAAAAGCTTCGCAATCCAACGCCAATGCACATGCTTCAAGAGTCCAAGACGTTCTCCAACGCGACGAAAGGGGCATGCGCTGTGTCACCACACTCAAGAAGAAAATGACATGGAGTTCGTATTTATGACCGAAGCAAAGTGCATGGCTTTCTCGAGACCATGGTTGGCAAGAGGGGCTTCTGACAACGAGCAGGATGTTGCAAGTGGAAACAGGATCCCGGTACACATGGCTGTTGACATCCATGTTCGGAGATGCATGTTGCCGTACAAGAAGTGCGAGCTCTTGACGGTCTCCAATCTTAGTTGACTTGTCTAAGCCCTTTGAACGTGTCAACCCCTGTTGGTGCATCTCCATACTAATCAGGCGTGGCTCCCCCCTTCTGCTGAATACCGTGCCCTGCTCCGATCAAAAAGAATCAAAAGAAAGCTTTTGGAGCAAGTACTGGGGTTGCATATTTGGGCCACCAGCCTAAACCTGGATCTTGGCTTGCACCCTTGTATGCGGATCTGATGATCTCAATAAACGCACGCTTGTGGCCTGCTGTTCTCTCGGCACTGAATGCCAAAGCCTACTGGCCTCACCTGTGCGCGACATTTTCATGCCGGTTGGCTCGAAAGTCTTGGAGTACCAGCAAACCCCAGTATGCAGCCCATCCGACTTGCCTCGCGTAGTGCCCAGTCACAAGACAACATGGGTGCGCGTAGCAGACCCCGCCGCCGAGCACACTCGTTTGTCTAAAACTAGCAAAGCTAACGTAGAGTGGCTTCTGCAATGCTTTCAATCTGACGTGGCGTGCCCGCTGCAAAGCAAGCCAATCCTTGCACGCAAGGCAGCCGCAGACGCGTGTGCCGAAGGCACCAAAGTGGGCATCGGCGGCTGGTTCATATCCAGCCGATCTGTTGCACTGGGACTTCCAGGAAAAAGAGGCGCAACGCTATATAGCCTGCTTCGAAACCTTGGCCCAACTTGCGCTTATGCGGATCGCGTGGACCACCGAGAACCAAGCAGCGCGTGTCCTACGCATGCCATCTGGTACGGACAATACCGCATCCGAAGCCGGCGTGAACAAGCTGTTCGCCACAGCGTGGCCTTTGCAAATTTTTGTGCAGCTCGTAGCCGCATGGGCATACAAGCGCAAATGGTCAGTGGTTGCATCGCACATCCCAGGCGAACACAACGTGTGGGCTGATCAGCTCAGCCGCGGAAACGCATCCGCATTCGAGAGCAAGCCGCACGCTCGCTTTAGATTTCGCCCACGACTTCTGGCCCCATAACGCCGCGCTGTCCTTGCATCCGCCCGATGCGCCCTGGCGGCCAAAGCATAACTGCAGCGCAAACGCACTGAAGAGGGGGCGACAGATTAGGCCGTTTGCTTGGAACCCTGCATGGGGGTGCAGGCGCGGGGAAAGGACACGCTTTGTCTTTCTCCCTGCACCCCCAAGCCTTGACTTCCAAGCAGCGCCTCACAAAGTAAAAGAGCGAGCGCGCCGTTTGTCGGTCGTACTCTTTTGTCTTTTGTTGCATGTTCCCTTTCGGCTTGAAGCAGTGATCAAGATTCTAACGTTTGGGGTTTTCCCTTTCCCCTATGTTTTAATCTTGATCGAATCTTCGGACGCGTTGCCGTTTTGTGCTTCAAGCCCTCTAAGGGTCATGCTTTGAGGGTTCTACCCCTCTTTTTTGCGCCCACCCACCCACCCTTTCGCAGCTAAGGTGGATCCTCCAGGTGCTCAGCAGACAGCTGGCGCCCAAGAAGTCAGAGCACCGAGGTGCCTGTCAGGTAATGCCACAGCATGCCCCTACATGCCGTGACCGCTGAGGCAGGTCTCAACCCTGCGCGTGTGCCGCGCTGCACACCAGCCGTTTGCACGCAATGCATCCGGCAGCAACTCACAGGTAACACACCTGGCGCCTGGTCGAACACGCGTTGTTGACCACGGGGGCATTTGAGTAGGCTCCGCGTGGGGGTGCAGGCGCGGGGAAAGGACACGCTTTGTGTTTCTCCCTGCACCCCCGAGCCTTGACTTCCAAGCAACGCTTCACAAAGTAAAAGAGCGAGCGCGCCGTTTGTCGGTCGTACTCTTTTGTCTTTTGTTGCATGTTCCCTTTCGGCTTGAAGCAGTGATCAAGATTCTAACAGCTTTGATTCTTTCTTTCAGTGCAGGCTCACAGGCCATGCGAAGGGTGCAAAAGCAGATAAACCTTGTCTATGATATGATGGCCTGCCTGGCTGGGGTGCTTTGCCATTGCGGAGTTTCTTGAGTTTGTTTGGGTGTGAGCTTCGTGTGTGGCTTTCCGATGCGGTCATGAGCTTCGTGTTGGTGCGCGCGGTCCACCAAACATGAGACGCTTCAGGTTTCTGTATGTCCTGCTTGGCATCACATTGGCTTGAGGTGGTCATGGTTGAGACGACAAGTTCTTCACCAGTTCTTTTGTCAATTATAAGAGGTTCAAATTGCGTTGTTTGCAGCGGATTTGTCCCACACCTGACACGCGGTTGCGTACAGGTTTCAACGCATCAAGCTTTGTTGTGGCTTCTGGAAAATACGGCTTTGCCACTTGACTCGTCTTGCCTCTGCCAGCTTTCCGGACGCGGGGATCCTTGCATGGTGTGTTGCGGAGCAATGGCCATGCCTCCGCACTTGCCGTTGAAGTACGGACAAGCCAAGCCTCAGGCGGAGGGCGGCGATTTCCATCGCTCCTCAGACGGAAGCTTGGCCGGGCAGCGTTTTTTTTCTCCCCATTTTTTTTGGTTGTGTTTGTGTTGGGCCACTTCTTTTGTTTCCAAGCCATGAAAAACCATTCACGCGGATCACCAGGGCGGCTTTGGCTCTTCACCAGATCCTGGGAGCCGAGTGAGCCCTGGGCCACCCTGATGCTCAGCTGACGTAGACAGGCGTCGACTTCTCGAGTTTGGTTCGAGTTGTTTGTTTTGTTTTTTTGGTGAAAAGAGGCAAGGGTTTGGCTCAAGTTTCCCTTTGTTTTGAGAACTTTTAGGTTACCTTTTTGCGGTTCGACTGTTTCCTGGAATATTTCTTGAGGTTCATTCTATACATTCACGTGTATGTGTGTATATATATGTATATATTTATCTCTCTCTCTCTCTCTTTCTATATATGTACACATTTGTTTAGCAATACATATGTATATACATAATATGCCGCTCTCTCTCTCTCTCTCTGCCATGTGATTTTTGCCATGTGATGTTTGTGCCATGTGATGTTTGTGCCAAATAGAGAGTTTCTGCCATGTGATGTTTGGAGCCTTTCTTGAATTTACGGTCAATTCGCTGTTTTGGCCTGTTGGCCGTAAATCGCCTTTTTCCTCAAGTTCACTTGTGAAGGCTTCAGGCCAGGTTTCAGGCCTCCGGCCCAGACGCAGAGTCTTCTTGAGTTGTGAAGCGTTTAGGCCTCAAGCCTTTGCCTTAGGTCTGTCCTGCAAGATGTTGACCTCATGACAGTGTTTGTTGATAACAAGAATAAAAATAAATAAACCTTCGCCTGTGCAGTCTTGCATTCTTCCCAACTCCTGCCTGTTTCCAGCCGTCAGTGTTGTAGTTTTTGCCCATGCGAGTCAAACCGAAAGTCGACTAAGCTTTCCTCGGAAAGAAACACACACCAAACTTGTGTTGACAGTGCGAACTATCGCGACATCTACTTTTAGCAAGCGCCAAAACACTGGTGATGCTGGGCATGTGTGGAACTTTGGCATTCGAACTATCGCGAGGACATTTCCTTTACCAAAACGCAGCTGACGCTGGGGGTACCATTTAGTCAATGCAATTCGTGTCGCCGTGTACAGAATCTAGATGCCGCCCGAGCAACTCTCCAAATTCGAGTTTGGATTCCACATGTATTGTAAGCACTGGTGATGCTCGCGACATCTACTTTAAGTAAGCGGACTATTACTTGCTGAAGCACTGGCGATGCCGGGGCATGATTCTCACATAGAGCTTCGGCTGGCTCGGTCCCCTTAGCCCATTCCAGGTCTTCCCAGCTGGTGGCTTTGGTTGCAGTAGTTTACCCTTGAAGCCTTGTTTGAAGTCAGAAGCTTGGGATGGAACTGCAGAGGAGTAAGATAGGTTTATTTTTTGGAACTTTCAGATGGTATGATTTTTGGGAATTCTAATTGGATCCATCTTTCAATCATCTGCACAACAGATTGTTTTTTGCATTGGTCCGGCTGGTTCTCAATACCCTCCCACCAATTAACATGGAACCTGACGTTCGGGGAGTCCTTGGACCATTTTCAATCAGCCTGGGCATTTTGCACATAGGATGATCGTCCACGGCACGGTGGACCACTCCGGCGTCTACTCTGAGTTGGGCCAGTTCCTGGCCGCGCAGGGCGTGGCTGTGTTTGCCTCCGACATGCGCGGCTGGGGAAGGAGCGACGGGGAGCCACTGCGCCACGGCGGGGTTCCAGTGAGGTTCCAGTGGGGTTTCAGTGCAGTTCTAGTGGGGTTCCGACGGTGGCGGAAAGGTCTTTGCGGCGATGGCAACCACACGAACCAGACTTGTCGCGGCCATGCCCTTTTTAGGTTAGTTTGGGTAGAAACAGATGGGTTCCACCGGTTTAGATGGGTTTTATTCCATTTACCAGGGAAACCCATCATCCATTTTATCAACAGGGCACTTATGGTCGCGGGTTTCTTTAGGCGGTTTTTGTTCTGAGTGTAAAGCTGGCCGGTGCGAGTGGAGTTCTTTGCAGAAGCGGTTGCGGGAGCTGATGTTCCATGCCCCACTTAGAAGTGGCAGTTCTTGAAAATTCTGGATTTGTTTGGCTCTATCGGCAATAGTTGTGGCGTTGTCTGAACTCTTTTGCAGGCGCACAGGGGGAAGTTGGTTCGATCTCTGCATGAGGCTTCTTGCCTAGTTTTACCTGAAGTTTGAGTAGTGAGGGGCTTGCAGAGCCACGTGCATGGCATCTATTTAACGGCCTGCGGCCTGGTTCCGCCGCCCCCACACACCTTAGAATTTCGGCCCGGGACGAGAGAAAGCACGCGATATGTAGACAGACACAGACAGACACAAAGACACGCAGACAGACACGCAGCGGGGGGGGAGGGTCTTCGCGGACACGAAGACAGACGCAGATGCGCAGGCAGACGCAGACAGAGCCAGACAGACACAAATACACAGACAGACACGCGGGGGGGGGGGACACGAAGAAAGACGCAGATACGTAGACAGACACAGACAGACACAGACAGACACAAAGAGACAGAGACAGACACGCAAGGGGTCTTCGCGGACACGAAGACAGACGCAGACAGACCCAGACAGACACAAAGAGACACAGACAGACACGCAGGGGCAGGGGGGGTCTTCGCGGACACGAAGACAGATGCAGATACGTAGACAGACATAGACAGACACAGGGGGGGGGCGGAGGGGTGGGGGAAGACTACCCGAAGCCTAGGGAAGAAGCCCGAAAGCACAGGACACGCGCGTTGTTTGGTTCCGAAACAGTATTGGAAGACTAGGAGAAGAAGCCGGAAGATTACGGAAGACTACGGGAAGAAGCCGAAAGATTGCGGAAATTTACGGGAAGAAGCTTGAAAGATTTCGGAAGACTACGGGAGGAAGCCGGAAGACTACGGAAGACTACGGAAGACTACGGGAAGAAGCCGGAAGACTACGGAAGACTACGGGAAGAAGCCGAAAGATTACGGAAGATTACGGGAAGAAGCCGGAAGACCACGGAAGACTACGGGAAGAAGCCGGAAGACTACGGGAGACTACGGGAAGAAGCCGAAAGACTACGGAAGACTACGGGAAGAAGCCGGAACACTACAGAAGACTAGGGAGGGGGTGGGGGGGAGGGGAGGAGGAAGGGAGGGGGGGGGGGGGAGGGGGGGGAGGGGGAGGGGGGGGAGGGGGAGGGGGGGGGGGAGGGGGGAGGGGGGGAGGGGGAGGAGGGGGGGGGGGGGAGGGGGGAGGGGGGAGGGGGAAATCCAGAATTCCAGAAATCCAGAGATCCAGAAATCCAGAGATCCAGAAATCCAGAAATCCACAAATCCAGCCGACCAGCCGACGTAGAAACCAGCCCCAAGGGCCGCCCCAAGGGACATATAGGTTATATATGTATATATACATAATCATATTCACATTAAACTTATAGAAAGCATATCAACAAAAGCAACACAGAACACACCGCCCCCATGCCCAAAGCATGGTCCATTCTGGACCAGGCATGGGGTCGGCGGATTTCAGGTACCTGGACAACATCAAGTCCTTCATGGGCGACATACTGGCAGATTACGAGCACATCCATGCAGCGTCACCCTACAGCCAGCTGCGTGCTCGATTTCTCCTTGGGAAGAGCATTGGAGGATTGATCACTGCCTGGGCAGCGGCTGAGCATCCTGACAAGTGGACTGGATTGATTGGCTTGTCCGGTGCCTACCAGGCAGGGCGGAAGTTTCATTGGCTTGTCCGTTTACAAGGATTGCTCAGAAGGCATTGATTGATGGGTTGAGAAAACGACATGCTTTGCCTGCAGTTGCTTGACCAAGGACACAGATGTCTTTTTCTGCAATCGAAGGCACAAATAGGAGCAAACATCCAAAACATCTGCAAAGGAGGATGTTTCCGGGAGGCACCCCTTACCAGGTTTTGGTTTGACGCACGTTAGGTCGATCCGAGTGTGAAGCCGCCGTTTCTTCTGCTGAAGATGGTGGAGATGCTCTCCTACTTTGCGCCGCGCCTTGCCTGCAACTGGCATTGGCACCATGAGGCTGTGGGTCAAAACTGATGGTACCATTTTGGGCTAGGAAGCCCTGAGGAAGATGACATGGATGTGACAAATCAGGTGTGTGCATAGCGGCAATGGTGTCACAAGTATGCATCTTCTGATGTGTTGAGGAAGATGCCTCTCAAGCCCCCCTTCGACCCCAAGCTCATCGTCAGCGACGAGGAGGCCTTGCAAGAATGGGAGCCCCTCGGATTCTTCAAACCCGGTGACAGGCCAGTTTGGATAATGGTAGTGGTAGTTGGCGGCAGCTGCTGCCGCAGCAGGAGTAGTAGTGGCAGTGGTGGCAGCAGTAGCTTGCAGTTGCTGCGTTTGTTTGATGCTCAGCCTTTGCCATCCCTCGGCTTGCGATTGGCTTCGAGGACATCATCTAAAACATGTCAATGTGGTTTGTGCTTTTCCAGCCCCGCCTGCGAGTCTCGGCTCGCTTCACTTGCTTTGAGTCCGGAATGGCTGATGCCTGTATCTCAACGTGGCTGGTTGGCTCTGCCGTGTGCCTGCGATGGGGCATTTCCCGCCTGTGTGCGGCTCAGGCAAGATCCGCTGGTGAGCCGGGGGAAGCAGCTTGGAGAGCTGCAGTCGGGGGTTAAGTGTGAAGTTTGTTTCTGTCGTCTTGCCGAGGATTGAGGGTCCAGCTCTTGAAGGAACATGAGGCTTGGGGCTACATGAATCAGTGACACCTTCGGAGCTCCATTCGAATCTGATAGATCTACTACCATCACGTTTCTCAAGTATCCCCCTGCGGCATCATAGTCAACAACATCGCACAAACCCGAATAAAAGCACCACCTGAAGAAGTTCCGTCACTGCCATCCCCAGCTTGCGAAGGTTTTCTCACTAAGACATATGTTGCAGCGCTGGTCAACCACATGCCGAATTTCTAGCCACCGAACATCGAGCAGAAGTGTTGAGTGCAGGATGCCCTCGCCTTGACATGAGTAAATCGTTCTCGCTTTGCCAGGAGCATATGGCTATGAAATTTAATGGTTGGAACCCCTGAAAATTGGTTGGTAGACATAAATCCCCAAATGATGTCCACCAAAGAAATCCTAATTAAGTTCTTAGCCACGTATGTTGGCAAGACAGCTCCCCTGTTTTCAAACTGAAAGACCAGGCGCGTGCCTTTCGATTGAGCTACCGGGGTTCGGCTTCTGGAAGCTGATTTCAGATCAAGTCTCGGGATTTTGGCATCTTCCTTCCGTTACTTTGATCAAGCGGCCACTGAAAGCAAGGAAGTCTCAAGATCCGGATCCGAGGATTACTGTGGGCTACATCTGCGAGATGTTGCGGCTGCAGGGGGAGCTCGACAGCGTGCTGCAGATGCACATGCCGGCGCTGATGCTCTGGGGTACCGGGGATCAAGTCGTGACGGAAGCGGGGCACCAGATGGTCCTGGACCGGAATGAGCCAAAACAGGGGTGGAAAACACGGGGGGTGGAAAGCTGGCAGTTGGTTCGCTTTTCTCAATTTGGTGCTTGTGGGAAGTGGTAGCTCAACCCTCTTTGCTTGCTTTGAGGGTTCTCAGACGTCTAGGTCGTCGGATGGACATCGCATCTAAAGACTCCTCCATAGTTGCAGGCTTTTGGCCATTGGCTGTTTTCCACAGCTGGCTTGTTGTTGCGCAGCCAATACACAAGGACTTCACACATTTCTCGCTGAAGTGGGGCAAGGCGCAGCAAAATACCAACCTGACTTGTTTGCACCCAACCCCAAGTCATAAAATCCATTTGACCCAAAACACCAGCATTGCAGGATGCCTCCAACCACCCGGAGTCCGAGTTCCTCAAGTACCCGGGGGGCTACCACAACCTCCTGGCAGAGCCCCAGCTGAAGGAGTCGGTGATGCGGGACATCCTTGGCTGGCTCCGAAAAGTCGTAGCTCGCGCTGGCGGCGAATGATTTGGCATGCGCTTGTGGCGGATGATGCATGCGGCGCGGGCGAATGGCAAGGGTTTCCCTTTTGTCCTTGGCGTTTTGAAGCCATTTAGTTGTTAGCACAGTTGGTTGGTTTGCGTTTGGTTTCCGCTTGACACCATCAGAAGCCCCAAGGGGTGAGACGATTGTCGGGTGTTTTAGGGGCAAGGGAACTGAGACCAACGAGTGCTTGAGGCACAAGCCCAGGATCGATCCTTGAACGCGAACCTCGGATAGCCTCGAGAACGGAGCGGGCGGACGCGGCAGTGTCTGCGGGTCCGCTTTGATGCTCGTGCAGGCAATGGCACAGGGCGCAGACATGTGGTGTCCCCATTTCGAGGTCTCCCCTACTGACCATGTCTCAACCAGGGGATCAACTGCACTGTTGATGGATGACTTGCATACATACCACGATGGACCTATGTTTCTTTCTGGCATTTGTTGCGGTCATCTTCGCCATACAGCTCCATCAACAGTCGGCCAGACCTCGTTTGTACAGGAAGGTGCCCCGGGCCGTGGCAAAACGAGGATTGCTTAGCAAGGCAGTTCTTCGAAGGGTGCACATGTTTTGAAGAGTTAGATGCGCTTTCGGCAGCTCGGCTATGCTTTCGGCGCAGCAACTCTTTCCCGCTCCAGGCCTCCCCAATTTTGCGCAAATGCACCAACCATCAACCTATGGTGCCTCGCAAAAGACTCAAGTCCTCTATGAAACAAAGGTGTCAAAGAGGCAGATTTGACTCACTTGTGGCGGCTCGTCGAGAATTGGGCATTCCGCATGACATGAGAGCTCGAGCCCGGCGCGTGGGCCGAGCAGCAGGTTTGCGGATGGGTTGCGGCGGGGCACACGTTTTGGATGCTCAACGGCAGAATGCAATCTCAGGTGATCCAGAGACGGCGCGAGCAGCGGCCTTCGCCTTCCCTCCAACCGGGCGAAGCGTTCATTTCAGGCGAGCTTGAGGGAGCCACAACAAGCCGCCCGTTGACGCAGGCGGGGTTTCGAAGGGCTGACATGAAAGATGTGAAGGACAATGTCAACAAAAAAAGGAGCATGGCACAAGGCAGTCTTGGGTGTCATGTTTGTGGAAGGATTTCTGGATACGTCATGAGTCCGATGTTTGTTCGCCTTTGGGCGGCCAGAAAGGCCAATTCCCATCCCGGACCGCAAGAAGCTTTTGCGGACCTTGTACGAGCTTCTTGCTGAGACAGGAGGGGAAGAAACAGACGAGAAGTCACTGATACTCGCAGACTGCGGTTCATTTGAAAGCATGTGAATGGCACGTTCCTGCACTTTTGCACGGGAAAATCGGTACGGCTGCAAGTTGCTCAGAGCGAAGCTGGCTCTCAGCAAAGTGGGTGTTTGGAGCGTAGGGTTTGGGGTACTACTCTCTTGGTTGCCGCTCTGAAGAAATTCTCTTTGTCAATCCCATCTCTTTCCACAGCGAGACTTCCATGCCTCGGAGCCACTTTGCTTGACTTGGCCAGAGTGATCGATGGGGATTCTTGGTGAAGATGAGGGGTGTGTGTGTGTGTGTGTGTGTGTGTGTGTGTGTGCGCGGTATGCTTCGGAAACCATTCGCGGGTGTGCTTGTATGGTTCTGGCAGCATTTCCCTGGGGGGAACTGCAAGCCGGGGCGCAAGGATTCATCCTGACAAGCACAAAGACACGAAGGGCCACTGTTGAAGGCGGAGCTCAGTTTCAATGTCAAGTGTTGGGGAGTTGTTTAGGTGCACTAGCTCCCTTCGTAGGGTTTGGGATCATTCAGACATTATGGTTCTGCTGATCGCTGGCATGAAACGACTAGAAGTGGAGTTCCGGAAGTTGTATTTGACACTTGGCATGTACGAATCTGCACAGTGAAGCGGCTAGGAGCAGCGCGCCAAAGGACGGCGGGGGATGCCTGGGAGCTTGGAGTGAGGCACATGGAGGTGTCGTTAGGCTGCAAAGCATTTACAGGCGGACAAGACCCTTGGTATAGATGACGGTCTGGCGGCGCACATTCACAATCCCTTTTGCAGACATGTAACTGCAGGGGGCTGCCATCTTGCTGTTGGAAGGAACCCAGTTGGAATTTGAGGAGCGAGGGGATGATGTTTGAGCTGTGGTTTTTTGTAGGCTTCAACCAAGGGGCGATCCTCAAAGCAAGGCTTCCCTACATGCGGTTTCTTTTTGCTGAAGGTTTGCACTGAAGTCTCTGCCTCGCTGACCCGCAGTCCACTTTCTCTGTCCGCTGTCCCCCTCTCGTCCCTCATTGGCATGACGCAGCTTTCGACTCGGGCGGCCATGGAGAAGTTTTCGACCCAAGCCCAAGACGCTTGGCCGCTCTTGGTTTGACCAAAACACAAAAGCCACAGTCTTTCTTGACAGATCCAAGGGTTGCCACCTTTTCCATTCATTCCAAGACAAGTGACTCGCCTATATAGTGCTCATGATGACAGGTTGAGGTGGATCCAAGAGTTTGGTTGCTTCGGACCAGCCGTTTCGTGGTTTCTCCTTCTCCCCAGGCGGCGTCGAGCAATCTGGCGAACTTTGTGAGCCAGCAGGAGCGGGTGAGGAAAGCCGTGGATACGAAAGATCTCTCTGCCTTGGAGAAGGAGCACTCCGAGGCTTCGAGACGAGCTTCTGTTGGCGACAAAGGGCGCCCTCAGAGTTGCCCGGGAAAAACGTGGGGAGAACTCCCCGAGCTTCGCGTAAGGCTTCGGTCCCTGCCGAAAGCGGGCAGACGCAGAACTGAGAGCCAGCTAGGCCCTGCCATATTAGATTCTTGGTGCCCTGAACGGCAATCCCAGCCAAGGTTGAGAGGCGGTTGCTCTTTCGTTTGACCTTCCACCTGTCAGGCTGGCCATGACTGCATCATCACTTGCTTGCAACATGTTCTTCGGTTGGTCACAGACCAATCCAGCCAAGAGGCACTGTTTTCATTCTCTGACAAGGGGTAACTTCCATTTGGGGGTACAACAACCAGACCCACTAAAATTGTTCTTCCCTGTGCAGGATGGTGAATTCACCCCCGAGACAAAGCGCGCTACTTTGTTTTGCCAGGTCGGAAAGCACGGGGTGGACACAGCACTTGTGCAGAGGTCAAGCAAGCGCACACAACATAGTGTTGTTCTGCGAAACAGAGATTGTAAGTAGCTCGTTACACGCTTTCAAAATCGCTCCCGCCGATGGCAAGTCCAACTTTGCCAGAATCCCCGACATTCCTGCATCAGCAGCGTCCCCAGCATCTCTGGCATCCCGCTTCCAAAGTGGACCCTCGGATGCTTGCGAGCAAGCCCGCTGGGGCTCCCGCAAAGTCGTAAACGTCCTGTCTTCTGCTGAGTTTCAAGGTTTTTTATTGGGACGTGCTGGGGATGCCGTCTTCGCTTCATTGGCTTTCGCACGCACGCGCGCGCGCGGCGAGCTGAGCAACCCCTGCAACCAACCGCGGGGTGGGTGCGAGGGGGGGCAAGGTCTGTGGCGAAGCCCCAATATATGCACACACACACACATCATGTACATATGTCTATATATGCATGTTTTTATGGTTACGTGGCGTAGACATAAGTTAACACAGTTGTATTGACGTACAGGGTCCAAAGAGCGCGGTGTGGTTTCCAACCCGACTTGGTGGTTTGCTCTGAAAGCAGGGGGCATGCCCAACGTGCCTTCTCCATTTGCTACCAGAAAACCAGAGGGAGTGAAAGGAGATTGGATTAACGGCTACAATTCGAGTCCAGTCCATTCATCCAGCACGAGACCCCCCAGCATTCAGTTCCCAATGAGTGTCAATCGCCTAAGGAAACTCACCGAAACCAAAAGGAGGGACAGGGAACCTGGAATGCCTACCAATTGAATCCGCTCATTGAAAGGCCAGTTGCATTGAACCGGTCTCTTAACCTGGACGAGTTTTGAACGGGGAGCGCTGAAGCCTCAGAGGGTCCAGTTGGATGCAGGGAAAAGCCGAAGCCGACCCCTTCGGCGTCCGTGCTTGGTGGCGCCAGACCTGTCCGGAAACGGTGCGTCAGCTGAGCCAGACCCTTCGGCAGATCTTTTGTTCGGATGAGCCTGTTTGTTTTCTTCTTCCTTTTTTTCTTCTCCTTTTGCGAGGGACATAATTGCCGAACAAGGGCGCACCTGAAGATAGGCGGTTTTCCTTTTGGTTGCATCCAAAAGGGATCACAATTTGGACACACCGTTTTTTCATGACAGTCTTGAACAGTTGGGACAAAGCGTTTTCGGGCCAGATATTCAGAGAGCGCAGTATGTCCCAGTTTGGGACTTTCTTGAAGGGCCAACCGCTCTGGCAGGGTGTTTCTCTCCAGAATTGGGGGTTGGTTGCTTTCTGCTCTTCTCAATATTGGGGACTCGTTATGGTTGCTTTCAACGGTTCCCTGGTTTGAGACCAGCGACCAGCTCCAAGGATCCAGGCGGAGCAGAAGACTTTGGCGGAGACCGCATGCAAGATGGAGGCAGACACCAAAGCCGAGTTGCAGGAGCTTCGGTTGGCTTCGGTGGTTCGGGACGTAACTGTAGTTCAGGAAGGGCACGAGGGTTTGACAAGGTTCAGGAAGGGCACGAGGCTTTGAGGATTCGTTAAAAAGGAGACAGGGAAAAAACACTCAGCGGAAGTCGGGTACCTACATGCTCAAAGTGTGCCACGGATAGGGCAAGCCAACACCGAGTTGGCACGTGGGGGCATCAAAGAAACTGGGCCTGTTTTGGAGGCACAGAAATTGCCCGAAAGGCTTCAAACTGCTGGGTTGCTAGATCCATGCTGGGTCTAGAATCCGCCGAATTGACTGGATCGCAGCGCAAACTCGACACCTTTCAATTCAAGGGACTCCGTAAAGTTTTGAGAAAAGACACGACGTTCATTCAGCGAGCCAACACAAATGCTAAGCTCTACGAAGAGGCGAATGAACTCTTGAACACGCAGCCCGGCAATCGAAAGGAAGCACAAACATATAGTTAACTGACGCAAAGGGTTGTTATTCCAGCGACTGAACGCACCTGAGGAACCCCCCAAGCAGGTGACCAAAAATCCGACCTGCGAAGATGGGACGTAGGCTTCCGACGCCTCCTCCGACCGAGCAAAGAACGGCGCAGCCTCTTGACCGAAAGCTGCACACATTGACGCGGTGATGACGGCGGCGCGAAACAGAACTAATAGCCCGTGCTAGGTTAGCCAATTGTGCAGCTGGGGACCTGTGGGGCCGCATCAATATGAGTGAAGCCACCATCCTTCCCAACCGATTTCAGGTCTCACATAGCCTTAAAAAGGGCGAATCATGTGCTGTGCGTCTCACACGACACAGCCGCTTGGTGCGCGCGCTGAAGCGCCCAATGCGCACGGCGCAGAGGGTTATGCTGGTGGGCATGTGGTGGCAAAGGTCTTTCCTGACCTGTCTTCTTGTCAAGGGAACCATCAGACTTGGTTGCCATGTTTAAACATGGTGAACCGCGGGCTGTTTCGTCCTTTCACCCTTTCACCAGTTGCGGTTTCCTGGCGCTCCGAGCTTGGCAGGAGTTGTTGCGCAGCCCTTCCTCACTGGACTCCAAGACGAAGCGCCTGCAGGATGCTCAGAAGGTTCGAGCTGACGGCTTGGAGAAACTCAAGGAGGGCACCAAGGAACTGGCCGAAGTTGTGGACGACGGAGAGGACTGGGTACGTCTTGTCATGGGCAGAGGCAACAGACTTTCGTTTTGCCTTTCGCATGCTAAATGCGCCTGACCTGACTACCTTCAATGAGGATATTTGACAGATGCGTTGTGCGCACAGCCACGAGCCACACCGTGAGCAATTGGTTCCTAGCAAAAACCAACTGGGTTATGTGTGCTGTTGAGGCAGCGTGCGGCGTTTCGGTCAGGGTGACATGTATGAGATCTTGGCGAAAGAGGGCTGGACGGACCAGATGATGAGCGAAGAGCAGATGATCTTGGCGCACTCGGAAGTGCAAGCAAGGCGCGATCGGAACCGCTTCAGAGACGCTAACAAAGCAGCCTCCGACTTGCTGAAAAGTGGGCAACTTCCACCGCAGCTCGGGCAAGTGCACGATTGCCTGGCAAAGGCGCAGGACCCTTCGGTGGTTACACATAGCTTTTTTTGAACGAGAGATCCCTTCCAGTTGCCTTTTGAAGGGCGCCTCTCCGATCAGCCCTGTTGCAGGAGGCAAAAGAGATCAGCGCTGCTGCAACCACGAGCAAGGTGAAAGCCCAAGAGCGACTTGACTACCTGAAAGGTTACATAGCGGACACCCGCCGCTACATAGAAGATCCTTTGCGTGCTTCTCGCGACAAAGCGATGGACGACGTGGACGAAGCGCGCCTACTTGCTGAAAAGGCCATGGCGAGCCTTCGTTCGGCATTGCAAACACTTTCCGAACGCAGCAGAATCAATGAGGCGCTCTATTTGCAACTTGGCATAGTGGGAACAAAGACAGAGACACAGTTTCAAAAGGAAAGGGACGCCTGGTGAGGCCATTCTCTCAAACAACCTAGACTTTCGGAACGTGCCAGCTGATTGGCTAGCCAGCAGATATTGAATCGTACAGTTACTTCTGGGCCACACGCACAGACACACACACACACACCCACACACACACACACGCGCGTGTGAAAATGCCTGCAACAGACTCAACAGACTCCAGGGATTGTTTTACAAACTTGTCTTGAAACAAATATCCTCCGACTGGCAACCCGTCTTCCTCATGTGGGGCTGTCGTTGCAGATTGCCAAAGGATGGTTATGTGCTTTGTTGTGAGTCTCTGGCTGCTTGACGCAATCATGAACAATACCCCAAATCAAGCCTTCGCTCCTTTTGGTTGGAGCTTAGGCAGGAGGCGCACTTGAAGGAGCAGCTGTTTAACGCCGAAGAGCAGCTGCTCCAAGCAGGGCCGGCTTTTCAACAGGCCGAGGCTGCGGGAGATGAGTGCAACTCGAAGGCCGGGGATGCGGACATCAAGCGGTGTTGGGTCGGTGGGGTTGGGTGGGTTGGGTGGGGCGGGTGGGGCGGGTGGGGCGGGTGGGGGGGTGGGGCTGGGTGAGTGAAGGGCTAACGACCTTTCGCTTGTTCGAGACAGCCATGAACTGTTGCCCGCGCCCAAATTTGCGTGACTCCGGCAAGCAGCTGAGGCGTGTGCCGCAGCGAACGTGGTCGAGAGGGAAGTTGAGGCCTGTGCGCAGGGGTCCATTAGCTGGTGCCTTGGGTATAAGCTTCAATCAACCAGGCAAGCCGCCCAACTGAATTTTCCTGATGGCACCCCATCAGCAAGGGTCCTTTTGCGTTCCTGACAAGTTTGCACCCCTTGCGGCCAAAGCAGGTTACGCCCGAGTCCGCAAACCAGCTGGCAGCTTTGTTCCACATGGGTCACTGAGAAGCGTTCTTTGGTTTTTATTGCAGGGTACTATGGTCATTTGGGGCCTCAGAGATGGAGTATTGTTGAACCCGCTTCTTCTCTGAAGCCATAATCTATCGAAGGTGTGAGGGGTTTCAGACGGCTTTGCGGGTTGAGGGGCTTCCTCCGCCCGCGGCCGCGGTTCTGCGGAGGCCACGGCGCGGCAGCTGAAGAGCCTGGCGCAGCCGGAGGCGAAGTTTGCGCTGGGGCAGGTGCTGCGTGCGCAGGAGCTGCTGGACCGCCTCGAGAAGGCAGGGGCTAAGGGCTTCTCAGCTTGGTGGCTGCAAGTCATCCGGTTGTTTTAGCCGTTTGGTTGTTTTTAGTTGGTTTAGTCATTAGTGGTAGTTGCCATTTAGCCCACTGAAAGTTAGTCACTTTTAGCAGGGGATCTGAGGGCAGCCTTTTTGCCTGGTGCGGTCGCCGGTGCAATGCGCGTTGGTCCGGTGCTGGTTTGAGTTTTTTTTGGGGATTGGAAGGACTGATCGAGCCGTCTCTTGCAAGGACAAGGAAGCCGAGATCCGCTCGCTGAAGAAGGCCAGATTTGGCTTCCATAGCCTGACGCCAGCGACCCAATTCTTTCTTTTGGGCTTGTTCAGCTGATCTGCTGTCTGGTTTTGAGCCATGCTGCAATGCTGCAAAGTGATTTCCCTGCTCAGCAACTCATTCACCGCATTTTGCCAATATGGCTTTTGCGGAAGTTCGCACATCGGTGAGCAAGTTGGGTTAGATGGTTTGGACCGTGTCCTTCATAAGGGGATGCCAGATTGTCTCCAACACTATGTCGATTTTCAATGTTTGGCAATGTTGGAAGCCGTACTAGCGATGTTGGGGATTGCCTAGCTTCGGTCCCTATGGGCCCATGAGGCTTGCGACCCTGCCCCAGGAAGACGGGCATGTCTCAACAACCGGAACCAGCTCCTTTGGTGAGCGATTCGACATGCCAGGCGTTGGAGACCAACCGCCAGGAGGCGAATAGCTTTGCAGAAGCTCGACGACATGGCGGCGCGGCCCAATTGACGAGTCTCAGCTTCATCAGAAGTTTGGAAGGACCTATCACTGATCTTTTGTGTGTTGCTTGCAGATTCAGCCTACGGGCACCGGAATTCCCACCATATTGCTAGTGACTTGAGCGTTTCACATGGCACCATCTGTGGTCTGCTTCTGATGCAGCTTCAGCAAGCTTCGGAGGGTGAAACATCTTCCCCTTGCCTCGTGCGCACAAAAGGGGGGGGGGCTCTTCCTCGCCCGAGGAGCGTGGTGTGCGTGAAGAACTCGCAGAAGAAGAAGCTGGAGAACTCCTTGGGGGTCTGCGAGCAGGAACTGTCGGAGGTGAAAGAAGCCGCCGCCAGGGCTCAGAATCAGAAGAAGGCCTTCCTCGACCTCAGAGGCCCCGGGCAGGTTGACAGTTCACTGAACAAAGCAAGCCTTGGAGTGCAAGGCCGTGCAAGCTCCCAAAAATGCGAGGCGAGAGAAGGTAAGGCAATTTGGCAGAGTGTGTGCTTGTTTTGCTTTGAGGGGTGGCTCAGGTGGCTATGAGTTGGAGATGGACTCGCAGTCTGCGGAAGCCAAGGCAGCTGGGTGGGCTTCAGAACCGGCTGTTGACCACTTGACAAATGGCTGACATACTGTTGATGGACGAAATCCTGCACCACCTAAGCAACCCTGGAATGATAGATCCCCTGGCAAATACCAGCCAAAAAATGGTTTCTCCGGTCTAACACGGAACATGCGGCAACTGTTTAGGTGAAGTGAGCTCTCGCCTATCCGTCTCGATGAGGTTTGATGGTGACGGAGCCATAGCGGTTCTAAGTTTTGATGAGATTCTAAATCCTCCAACTATTGTCCTCTGTCCGTTGTCTAAACACCAGCCATATTGCCTGGTTTGGACATTGCCGAAGAAGGATCCTTGGAAGTTTGGGGAGTTCGCTTTCAGCATGATGGCAATACGACGACGACGGGCTGATCGACGTATAAGAAACAAAGTGAATGTTTTTGTATTGCCAGTTCATGTTGCATTGCAAGACCCCGGTCACTCCTCTAACAAGGCTGGGTTAATGTGCGGCACCAAGGGCCCCCTTGAAGAGGAATACGAAATAGGCCAACGCAGGAGGATTGATTTCACGCCCAACTTCAGCCCAGCGGCCCAGTTTCTGTCAGGAGCATATCAAAGAGTGCTACGCCGAACTTAAGCTTCCGTGGATGGATCCGGATCCCACAGACACGACCACTGCCTTGACTATCCCGTCGCTTGGGTGAACAAACTTTAAGTGGTTTCGAAAGTGTTTGGTCTCAGGAGAAGATCCATGGCGCGTTGCAGCGTTGCACTCGAAGGGGTTGCATGGTTCAGGTTGCTTTCAAAAGGCAGAGAGGAGAGTGTGGTATTGAATGAAGAAGCTCGAAGAATCATCCATTTGATGAATGCTTTAGGGCCTGGACCGGTTCTTTGGGCTTTGTGCTGCCAACTTGCTTTAGATGTTTTGGGTTACAGGAACCCTGGAACGACTTCCTGGCCAAGGTGCTTCCAAACTGATAGATGTGTCAGAGCCGGGCGATGCTTTCCCTTTCCAACTATGGGAGCAGAATCGATCTGCTTGCGCTTCCATTCTGCTTGCAGCTTCTTTGCAATGGTGCGCAACTGGAAAGGCCGTCTGTGACAGACAGCCATTTGGTTTGTTTAAGCGCCTTGCTTGACCCTGAGTCGGGGATGATCGCGTGCGTGGCATGTTGTCGTGTTTTGCCATGTTTACAGACGTAGGTAGCCGAACGCGAACCAAATTAGCTGACAGAAGAGGAACGTGGAACCAACTAGAAGGAATGGCCGTGATCAGAAAATGCTTCGTCACCAAACAAAAGCTTCTCAGTCGTTTCTTTGTATGGTCAATTGGACGCATCAGAATAATTCCAACGGCAAAAATAGAACAGACTTAAGATAAGTTATAAGTTGAGGTTAAACTAACTAGTAAGCTGACTCGGTTTATTGGGGTTGCGAAGCGCTCACTACCTGGGCCACTCAACCAGTTCCTTCAGGGAAGTCTGTCATGAGCACACCAGCTCCATGACTTTTCATCAGAAGGTGCAGCTTTAGGTCTTAGTTGTTGGCCGCGAAGAAATGGAAGCCTTGTTGCTCAGCTGGTCTTGTCATTATTTGTACATGCGTCACCCCAACATGTTCAGATGATGGTGTCCGAGAGAAGGCGTGCGTTCTGTTGGGCAACTAACTTCGCTCTGAGGTGCCAAGACCCGATGCTGAAAAGGGTCAAGGAGCTTGAGGAGCTAGTTAAGGACCAACAGGAATACAGGCGGGTCCTCAGATTTTCCGGGTGCTCCGGCATCCCAGAGGAAGCGCGCCGGCGACCAACAGACAAACCTCAGGTTTCCCAGTGCCGCCTTTCAATGTGGCAGACAGGAAGCAGGAATTGAAGGGAGACCCAAACAAAAACTCAGAGATTTGAGGGGGGGGGGGGGCAATTTGTGCTTTCAGAAATTCCCCTTTCAGCGGCTGGCAGGAAGCAGGAGCTGAAGGAGAAGCAAGAGCTGATTCAGCAGATGGCGATCATGCAGCGTGAGCTGGCGACCCTGAAGGTGGGGGATGACACTTGTCGCGGCCTCAGCCGTGGGTGGGCGAGTCGGGTCACCGCAAAGTGTAGGTGTTCTCTTGATGCTTGGGTGCCACCCTCAGTCGGTGGTTTGGGGAGTCCTACACCTTAAGGGATGCCATGCTTCATGGCTTTCAAAGCAAAACCGCAAGATGCCATTCTTTAGAATGCCCTATTCTCAGAAACACCTGTGTAGGAAAGGCTGGCGACCTGCAGGGCCAACGTGCGTGAGCAAATCTTGCGGTTAACAGGTTTGGACCGTCTTCGCATGACCCATGAGTCAGGAGGCGTCGCAGTTTGTCCATCGTGACTATCTCAGAATGTGCGGCTGTCAAACAGTTATTTGGCGTATCCCAAGCATTACCCTGCTGTTGATTGGTCCTTGTTCGCACTTTGCGACGTTCGTAGCCCATGTGTTCCAGACCATGTGCAGCCCCTGCTGGGTATGCGGGCGCGAACCATTGCAAGTTTGCCGACTGCGACGCAAAATGCGCGCTTTTCAGCGGCCAAGTGGTTGAACGACCCTCTGCAGAGAGCTGGGCTGCGCTTCTTGCTCAAGGCGGTTCGCAGAGCTTCACAGGTGTAAAGGTAGGCGGGCTGGTGGGTTGTTTGGGCAACGGTGAACTGGGCAAATTTGGCAGTTATCTTGCTTTTTGCCTGCTAGTTGCCCTGCGCATTGTTGCTGAACAGCATTTGGCAGATCCAGCACTTCGCCCAGCGTGATACCACAGCAAGCGTGCGGCCTGCGTGCCAAGCTACAATATTTCCTTTTCCGAGGCACTTTGCATTCCCCGCCTTTCAAGTTTGCCAGTCTTGCTCTTATGTGCTTTATCACGTGGCTTTTAACATCGCTTGAGAATTTATGCTGGCTGAGGCTCTATATATATATATATAGAGACTTGCGCAATCAGCGTGCTTCGTATGCGTGTGAGCCAAGCTCCAATGGCAATTTTGCAGGCGCGTTTGAGGAACCCTTTTTTGCCGAGGGGGGCAAACCAGCTTGCCAGGGTCACGTGCAATTTGGCGTAGGAACCACCCCCAAGGTTCAACATCTTCATGGGATGTTGGTCTTGCAGAAAGCCGCCGCGACCTCAAGAATATTGCATCTTTTTTGCTGGGAATTTAATTGGTGAGCCCGATACGGTTGGTGGCCATTTGGGAAAGGTCTTTTCTCTGTGGTCAAGCAACGATCTTGAGGGCCAAACATGACATTTGCGGAATAAAGCATCGAGAGGTTTTGGATTTGCTTCCATTTTGCCTTGCCTGGTTGGGTGCCTGGAAGTGCTCGGCCCCCCCTCCCCCTTCCTTACGGTTGAGATCGGAACCTTGTAGCTGTTTCCAGTGGATCGCGCGTCCGTAGGTTGAGCTGAAGGAGACGGACGAGACCCCTGTGAGGCTTTTGACGTGAATTTGCTTCTGATGGCTGCTTGTTTGCCTGAAGGGTGCGCTGGGGCAGGCGGATTCCACAATTGCACATCTGGCTCTTCGTTTGACGTGTTGCGCTGATGCGAGCCCCAGTGGAAAAGGCGCCCGAATCAGGCTGCAAGAGCCTTTCCGGCTCACCGGGGTTTGGGAAAGCTGCCGGAGTTTGGCGGAGCCCAGACGGCTGTAATTAGGCTTGCAGGGACACTGTCCGAGAGTCTCGGACGTGCATGCGAGCGAGTTTAAACCATGCCGCGCACAGCTGCTTTCCACCACATTGGAAAGCTTTGGCATACGCAGACTTCATGACCGAAAATGGCCGTGGCTGCTCGCGCAGTAATTGCGCATTGCATGAAGCAAGTTGTTGTGCTTCTCATGGTCAGGAGCATTTTGAGTCGAGCGAGTCTACGTTGGTTGCTTGCAAGCTTGAAGGTGAGCAGGCTCCCAGGTGAGTGTCGCACAGTGGGGTTGCGACCTTTTGCATCACTGCTTTTTCATTTGCTTTGCAGCAGCTTTGCGCACTGCAAAAACATTTTCTGCAAGACTTCGCCCGGCTGAAGCCATATATCGCTCCTTCCCCTTTCCTACTGTGGATGGTTGCGAAACCCAAGAAGTCCTGGAATGACGATTTCTCTGTAAGTACCAATAAACAATGGTTTGCCATGGATTCAAACTGGTGCAGGATGTTGCCCATCCACAGTGTGATTTTGGAGCGAATGCAGCCTTTCATATAGTCATACTTGCCTAATACTGAGTACAGCTTTGGCTCAAGTACAAGAGTGTGCTCCTACCTCGGGTTGGCTATGCCTTGCCCCCAAGTTTAGCCACTGGTGCGGTGCCTTTGTCCACACCTGGGCCCTTGCTTGGACCGTCGCAGTTCCAGCGTTGTCTGCGAGTTGCTCGCCCCTTGCCTTTCCCTTGCTCGGTCAGCCTTTGCCTCGACCTTTCCAACACTTTTTTGATCGCAAGCCGTGTCTCGGACTTCGTGTCTCGTCTTGTTAAGGGTCCAACGAAGAACAAGGAGGCCTGGGGAAGCCACCTCGATGTCACCTGATAGATCCTCCCGATGACTGGTCAGATCATAGCCGCACGCCCATGCTCCACCGCACCTTTGGCCTTTTTAGCTGAGGGACGTGACGCAGATGATGAGTGGCCAGATTTCGCCGCCCGCGCTAGTGAGAGCACCTTGCGAGGCAACGGGCCACACGCAAAGATCTGCGAAAGAGAATGCTAAGGGCGAGGCTGCCGGAGGCAGTGTGAAGAAGCTCCGCAACTGAGTTGCCGGCGAAGCCTTGAGTTGCGCTGAGGGCTGCAGTCCTCTTCAGATGCCTGCTAGACTGACCCGCCGCGACCAACCTTGCGGGTTCCGACCGACAGGTGGGAGTGTGAGTGCGGTCACAGGATGAGATCCAACCGTTGGTACGGCCGTGGTCGGTCGCAGGATGTTGAGCCTGGCTTGCAGGGAGCCTCTGCCGCCGCCTGTCCTAAAGAGACCGCCCCCTTATCCGAAGCAGCGCTTGGGTATTGTTTTGCCAAATGGTGTTGAGCCGAAGCGATTGTGAAATTGTTGGAAGACGTTGGAGAACGTTTTTCGGTCTCTCGCGCAGAGGTTGCTAAGGCCTACCTCGGGCTTTGTATTTGGCATGTGCTGCGCCAGGCAGGGTGTCCCTTGTCTCGTGATGTAGAAAATCGAGCAATCAAGAGCCCAAATTCCGGGAGCTAAAGGCGCCGGCCTGCCGCATGGGCACATGTTCGACCCAACCTGAGCGGTCCTGCGTTGCCGCGTGCTGTTCACTTGGCTGCGAGACGCACGAGGTTCGAGGAGGATGAGGAGTCCTCTGCGGCCACGCGGAGAGCTACTGGGGCAGCAGAGGCGGACGACGCAGATAATGTTATTGGGCTGGATGAGGCTGCAGAGAATGACCCTTGCAGAGGAGACGCGAGCCGAGCCGCGCGTTGGAGTTGCGAGAAGTTTGCTGGAGTGCCAAGTTTGTTGAGATGCCGTTGGAGGCGGGCGTAAGAAAGTCATCAGCGCACCAAACAATTTCGCGACGAAGTTGACGACTCGCAAAAGCATTGTTGTTTTAGAAACCACCGTGCGGCTGACACGACAGCAGACCGTGGATGCTGTGGTGATACCGCGACGCTTCTCACTTTGGCAGTCGAGGTCCAAGTGTTGGCGGAATTAGACCTGAGGGAACTGCGAATCGTACTGGGCTAGATAAAGTGAGGCACATTCAAGCGAGGCCCACTCAAACGAAGCAGTGCAAGAACGGGTCACGCGATGTATAGCGATAATGTAAACGCGTCGCGTCCGCCTCGGCCAGAGCCGCAGAGAGCTACAGAATGGCGGGGCAAGCGAAGGGTGCAAATTTCTAGGGAATTTGACTCGTTAGCCGGTTTCTGGGGGGATTTTGAGGAGTTGGATGACAGGTTTCGAGAGGGGAGTTTGATCGGTTTCTAACGGTTTGCGCGCCTGTCATCCGTTTTTGGTCCTTACTTTCTTTCCTTAGCCTTTGGCGGAGGTGTGAGCTTGCGAGAATGAGTAGGGCAAATTGATTTTCCCAAGCTGTGTGTTCGACACATGCCATTTCTGGGTACTTTTGTCCACCAACGAGTGGTGTCTCAATCCGTCGCCAAGCAAGTCCCGCTTTGACATGTGGCCTGTGGGTGTCCATTCGTAGACACCGTCCGACAGCTGCGGTGCCGTTAAGCTGTGTTGTTCGCAGCTGTGTGCAGCAGAATCAGTTCCACTTCGATGGATCCTGTGGGGCCTGCGATGAACTTCTCTGTGAGCATCAGCGACTGGGAGGAGGGTCAGCGCATTTTCATGGTGGGAGGCGCATGGGTTCGTGCCGGCCACGAGGGTTGGGCTGGCGACCGCTTTTGTGAACTTGGAGGTTTTTCGTGTTAGTTAGTTTTGATGTCAGACGAGAACGGCACTTTTGTTGCCACTATTGTACAGGCCCAACCTTTCCGCCTGAAATCTGCGCCAGATCCTGAAGAGTTGGGCAGCTGGGTGATTGAGAAGGGCTTGCCGCTGCGCAGCTTCGACCGTGGGCAGACTTTCACAGCTACCCTGCCGCTGGATTTCTTGAACAAGGGTTCCTTCGCGTACAAATATGTGCGGGCAGATGCGATCCCTGAGTGGGAGCGCGGCGCAAACCGGGAGTGGCGGAAGCCAGAGAGGCCTCTGCGTTGTGGATATCCGAGTTTGACCATGAATGACGGTTCTTTCAGGAGTGGCCAGCCAATGGGCGACGAGAATGCTAACAAGATTGGGTATTTTGCGAGTAATGCCGCCGCAAAGGACTGGACACAGAGCCACCTTGCCTCCATTCGCGCAGATTTGCATGAATCGGAGACGAGGGTCCAGAGAATGATCAAGATGGAGTCCGAGAGGCTGCAGCAGCTTTTCAACCGTGCCCAACACGAGACGCATGGTTGCGAAGAGTGTTTTGCCTGGTTTCCGAAATTGTTATGTCTTAAGTTGGTCTTTCTGCGATGCTTGGGCACATGTGAACTTAAGCTTGCTTCACATTTGCAGAAGCCAATTTTGTGGTGCACACCTTTTGGGGATGAGGGAAGAGTGGGATCAGGTGGATGGCATCAGGTTTGGTCTGATGGTTTTGGGGCTGATGCGCTGACTCACCTTTGTATCGTCTTCCGTCCCAATGTCCTCTAGCGCTGCTACTCCCGAAGCTCCTTCCATTCACGCTGTGCGGTCTTCCGGCAGCGCTACTTTTCGGGCTCTGTCTATGGCGTTCGGCCTGTCATAGGGCGTCTCAAGGCCCCTGTTCACACGACATTCCGCCTTGGGTCTGGAGGGCACGCGGGTCCCTCCTTCGCAATCACAAAATGTGTCCAACCTCTTGGCACTGGTTCGGGGAATCAGGGGGTCATGTGACCAGTGTCGGCCTGGGATTTCTGAAAAACGTCCCAGTTTCACTTTGGGCTATCTCAGGATCAGTGACCTGGCAGTGAAAGTGAAGGGAAGGCCACAGAGAACCCCAGAGGCGCGGAGCCTTGTCGGTTCTGTTCTTACCACGCCCTGCTGTTTCGAGCAAGCTACCACAAACTACCACACCTCACCGTTTTTCACAATGGTCGCATTCCAAAGTGCAACGTTTCGAGTCGGCTCGGCTGGAGGTGACGCAGCAAGGCATTTCATATGCAAATATCCAACACATGATCAAGACGGAGGCCTCCAAGGCATGTGAGCAGATCCTTCAATCAAAACTTGGCGCCTGGGAGGAGCACTTCCGACGTTTGAAGCACGGCTCTTATAGTCTTTTTGCCTTTGTTGCTTTGAGCATACTCTCGGTGCGTAGTTAACTTGGCAGCGGCTAGCAGTCAACCTGGCTAGTTTTATCTTTGAGACTTGATTGGATTGAGGAGGTGCGTTGCTGGAAAGCCCAGGATTGATGACAGCAATGCTCAGATTTCAGAGGCGGCTTGGTCGTTTTCATCGATAGCAAATCAAGAATGCTCCCATTGATTCTGTCCCCGGCAAAATTGAAAAGGCAACCAAGGATACAATAAACTTGATGACCAGTGCAACCCATGGGAAAACCAGATAGCGTCTGTGATTCTGCTGATCAGCTGCAGGTGATTGATGAGTTGGACGAGAAGGTTGGAATGATCAAGATAGAAACTGACGAGACATGTGCTCAGTGTCAAGCAGACCTTGGTGTCCAATGTGACCGTCTGCAATGCAAGAACCAAAGCTGCTATGGCACGTTTTGTTTGTTCTTGTTTGCCTGTAGAACGTGAATGTAGTCAGTTCTTCTCATGTGCATGCGCCAGTCCGACTATTGAGTATCAGAGCGGCTTCTACCAATGTTCAATTGTTTGGTACGCGTTGCTTCTTAAGATTTGCCTGATTGGACGGGCTTGGCAATTTTGTCCCATGAACTTGGATACGAGAGCCTTGGGTTTGGCGGTAAAGCACGCTTCGTTGAAAGTTTTCCGAGGATCGATGCAGTCAGTGCCATGGTTCCATCGCTGGAGAAGGTTGTGGAGGAGTGCGGCCCAGTCGATTGGCATCACCAGCAATGTGTCCTGCGAGTCCGTGCAACCACAGGCAGTCTAATCAACGCAAGTATGTAGGCTCGGCCCTTGACTTCCCTGTTCCCAAAGGTCAAAGGTGATGAGATGGTCATCCACCTGCCCTGTCCAGCGCAAGGGTTCATTTGACCTCTTGACATATTCTCCGCAACCATGACATGTCCAGGGGCGGAAAGAACATTGCCGCTAGTTGTGCGCGACAACAAATCCACGGACACAGCAGAATGGCCGGAGGTGACGCAGGAAACGATCGGCGACTTGGACAAGAAGATCCAGACGATGAAGGGTGAGCTTGATGTGCGGTGTGCACGTCTCCAACATAAGCAGCGAGTTTGCTACAGTATGCGTTTTCTCTTTGATGGTCTGAGTTTAGCCTGTTCCCTTGTGTGGTGATGGCCCTTGTCTAAGTCTAGACTTTTGACTGAATCAATGGCGAACGGGCGTCCAGCTATGGGTTTCAGCGCGGTTTCGGCGTCTTAAGAATTGCTTGATTAGAGGGGCTTGAATATTTTTTCCCACGAACTTCCGAGGATCGATGCAGTCAGTACCTCGGTTCCATCGCCGGAGAAGGTTGCGGAGGCATACGGCCCAGTGTCCCGCAAGTTATGGCAATCCCAGGCAGTCTAGTGTCAAGGCAAGTATGTAGGCTTGGCCCTTGACATACATGTTCCCAGACGTGACGAGATGGTCATCCACCTGCCCTGGCCAGCGTAAGAGTTCCGTATTCGCCGCAGCACTATGACATGGCCGCACCGCAATAATGTTGCCGTTGTGCCCGACTCCGAACCATGGACACAGCAGAACGGCTGGAGGTGATGGAGAAGACAATCGGCGACGTTTACAAGAAGATTGCGCGTTTGGAGCGTGAGCAGCGTGGCTGGTTCTAGTATCCATTCGGCTACTGCAGCATGATTGATGAAACATCGGAGTTGAGGGTGGCCGTTTTGATGTCCGTAAGCCGAGCCCTAAGGATCAGTGATGTCGCCGCAAGGATGCCGCGGTCTACAAAGGTTCCGGAGGCGACGAAGCAGCTTTTGTGGCTGTAACATAGGTGAGCCTGTAGGTGAAGGGGGCAGGAAGAGAGAAGAGCGGCCAGCTTAAACCATGGCATTTCTTGCTCTGATATCAACGAATGCTATGAGATGTCAACAGCATGTCCGCTGCTTGCTACCGAGCAACGGATGATGCATGTTGCCATACTTTTGGTTTGTCATTTGACGCTTCAGGCGGCTGAGCATGAGATTTTGTAGGGCTCACATGTCAACCATGTGCATTCTGCCAGACAGGCGGAGGCTCGATTGGAGCGCTCAGAGAGACGAATGGCAGGGAAGACTTTGGAGGAGCGGGCAGTAGAGGCTGGTTGTCGGGGATGTCTTTTCTCCACATTTGGACCCCCCCAATTTTTGCCTGGTGCCAAAGGGAAACTTATAGACCCGCCATCAAATGAGGTTTCACTGGTCTTGGGGGCTTCATAGATGTGGAGATCATCACCGATGTGAATCGGAAGAGCGGCTGGATTGAGCTGTTTGTCGCCTTGACTTTCCGAGGATATGGACCCTATTTGGGCTTTTCTCCGAACAGGGGGCACCCTGACATATCCTGAACTCCTCCGGTTCCTTGTTTTGAGAACCCGCAGGTCTCCTTCAGACATGAGTTTGACTCAGAATGGGGCCCCACAAAATGGTCAGCTCCCTTTTGACCTGCATTTACACCAATCTCAAAAAGTGACAGACCGAAAGCCGGGCGGCATGTGAGTGGAAGCAATGCCGAAGGTGGAACTGCGACCGCCGGGCGTCGGGCAGCCGAAGGTGGATTTGTTGGAGGCGGGATTCGGGATCGGTTTCATGCTGTAACTGGAGCAGGCAGAGGCTTGAACACACTTTCGCTTTTTATGCTTGGCTCAGGTTTAGGGGGCTCACTTGGCAACCCACACCGGTATGCTCACAGTTTCAGGCGGCAGGGCTCGGTGTGCGCTCTGACAGGTGCCTGGTTCGAGTTCGGGTGCCGACCCAGGCGGGAAACTGAGGGTCTTGGGGGTTCTTGGTGCCGCTTGGACCAGATCTACTTAGACCTCAAACCGATCACTCCATACTACTCAGTGCTCAGTATCATGTAAGGCCGAGTAAATGCCGGTACCTATCACCAAAAGGTAGCCTTTTGCTGCACCTTGAGTACTTCCTTGCGTTAGCCAGGTCTCTGCAAGCTGGCTTTCGTGTCCCTTCTGCTCGAGGGCCATTGATCTGGGGTTGCCAGTTTGCCTCACGAGTCCCTGAGAGGACCTGACCCAGCTCCTGTCGGGCTTCCTCCTCCGCTGGCCTCGAGCTTCACAAGAGAAGAACCCTTCGCCGGCGACGTGCTGCAGGCCGCGCGAATTCCAAGCGCGACTCCGCCCTTGGCGCCGGCTTCCAGGAGAGCCGCGGGGCTGCGGGAGGGGTGCCAGATTTTATTTTTATTTTTTTTAATCGGGAAGAGGGCATTTCTTCCTCAAACCAAGCCCTCTTGGCACCTCCCACTCTTGTGGCAACTTCTTCTTTCTCGTGGTTCCCGGGCGCCCTCGGTTCCGACGCCAGGCGCCTTTGGGAAGGCCCCGCCGCTCCGGAGTTCGAGGGCCACCGCCGGCCTCCGCGCCCGGAGGACCCGGAGCTGCGGCGGCTCACGCTGCAGGCGGGAGGTCGAGGCGTCGAGGCGTCGTCAAATGGGGCTGGGGGGCAAGTCAGTGCTCCCTCCCCCCCTTCCCCCAAAAAGAATGCTCTCGGCTCATGGAGGTTATGTGTTTTTTTGGTTTTCGTGGAGGCTTTCAGATTTTGGTTTCGTTTTGATGGAACTTCAAGAAAAGGCACCTTTACGTGGCCGGTTGTTTAAAATTTGGAGCACCCCTGACCCCCTTTCAAGAAGGCTTGACAAGCCAAATGGGTCTTACAGGTTGATGAGCATGCGGCGATGCCACGTCTTGTAGTGCATGAGAAGTCCTACAGGATTGACACCAGTCTTTCGGACACGGCGCGAAAGGTGCAAACGGATTCCAGGATCCTGTGCTGCGGCAGACAACTCAAAGGTTGAATGCTGTGACGCGGTGTCATGATCTCGACACTCAGATCCCGGATTCGCACCCATCTGCCCCGACGGGCTGCCGAAGGGGCAACAGGCATCTTGTCCAAACGTCATTTATCCGAGTGACCGTGTTAAAGTGGTAGCTAAGACATGCCTAAGCATTTTTGCCAACACCCTCTCGATCTGACTGAGTTCCCATTGTGTGCGAATTTTAAAGTGGCACGCATTTCAAGCGGCTCTCTCGCCTATGCCTGAATCTGGAGCCATCCACTATCCGCAAAAACCATTCCGAAGTGCAGTAAGATCCAAGGTAGCCAGAAAATGAAGCGAGGACAACCGTTTTTTTGCTAGACAAACACCCCTGCGATGTGTGATTTTGGTGGAATCCTGGCAGGTGGAGCAAGACCTTTGGGCGGCCAGAAATACAAACCTCCCTGTGCAAGACCGGAAGAAGCTGTTGCAGAAGGTGTTCCTGAAGCGTCTTGGCCGTCGACATGGCGGGAAAGGCAAGAAAGGGGGTCGTGCCAGGAGGTGCCTAAAGTTAGAAATATGCTGCAGGCCCAATGCACCAATACCGAGCACATGGGGAATCGCGACCGCGGCGCGCAGTTTCATGGAAACTGGCACCAACACCACCAGCCAGCACCACCGCCAACAACAAGGTACGTCTTTCGCTGCCCGTGTCACACACTGTACAACCGCAAGAGTGACAACAGAGAACAGCAACACCAACAAGTGGCAAGACATATGTGATCTACAGCGCTGCCCAGACAGGCTACAAGGAACCACCGCTTTTACCTTGACCATTTACGCAGGCCTGGGCTCATTACCTGATTAAACCTATGTAGACCAGTTTATGTCGCAGTCTTATGTAGGCTTCCTTCGACCAAGGAGTGGTTGTTTTCAACACATTTTTGCCCAAACCCGCCTGTGCGAGCTTCCGATTCCAAACTGGCCAGGGGCACAGGCGTCATATCTTTGGGAGCATCAGTTTGTCATGCCATGAGTTGGACAGACTTCAGAAATCCGCGGCATGGTTGAACAGTGTTGCAGTTACCCTTTCTGCAGCCTGTCATGGCAGTTGGGCGCACGCACAGCAAAATCCAAGGATCCATCCTGACAAGAACAAGGACCTGGACACTCACGAGTGCATGACACCTGGCGCTGGAGTGATCCCTTGGAGAGAAGAGCCGTCATGTGCAGCCTGCAGAGCATGGGCAAGTGAAGTCAAACAGTGTCGGAGACCTTTCGTGAAACGGTTCGAGCCCTTTGGAATTCAGCAAACCACGGCCCCTTTGTGAAGCCTGGATGAAGGAAGCCTCATGGGGCTTTGAGCGCTGCTCGGGTTTGTTGGCAGCTTCTGGTAAGGACTTGGTTCGAGCAGTGGAAGCAGAAACATCTGGAGTGGTACTTCGATCCTCACGACGTGCCGGACCGGAGGCGGAGCCGCGGCCAAGCTGTTCCTTCAAGCTTCGGATTTTATTTTGCGACTTGAAGCTACAGCCGCCTAGATACAGACAAGAGGCATGCGGCAGAACCTGCTTCGGCGCCGAAATGGTCTGAACAATTCCAACAGGTGTACTTGGAGAGGAAACCGAGCAAGGGGATTGAGCCTCATCAATCAGTGTTTTTTTCCTGAACCAATAGAGACAGAAAAAGGCGGACCACCATCTTTGGGTTCCAATCGAATGCATCGGAGCCTGATCTCAAACTGTTTTTGGCATCACCTGCAAGTTTAGCATGGCAGGGTACCCTCCACAGCCGAACCTCCCTGAAAACGGCGTGCCAACCAAAAGGACAGGTTTGAGTCCCTGCCCGTAACATGGAACTTGCTTTCCCGCAAACACGGCAACTGTGGGAGGGTAGCTGGAAAATCAGTTTCCTCTCAAAGGAACCCCCTGTCAGGTGCCATGTTAGTGGAGGGGTGTACCCTTCTTCATCCGATACATCACCTTTTGGCCGCCGACCGATCAGGAGCTGATGGTCACTTCAGGGCCATTTTTTTTGTTGACTTCTCCTGTTAGCGGAACCGTGCTGATTCAGAACCTGGTAGGTTTAGGGGGTGTTCTTGGTTTAAGTGCATTTGAGAATACTTTTTCAATCAACCAATCAACCTGTGACCATATGGAGAATCCCCATACCAGTGGAATAAAAGGCACCTTTCAATTGGTTTTGAGATTTCTCTCAATAGGGGCAACTCCAGTGGGTTTGACAAAGTTCTGATCTGTGGCTGATTTGGATATCACGTTTGGCCAACTTTGATTTTCCTTTTCCCGTTCATGATGTTCACGGGGCAATATTGAGACATGTGCGAACTCAACCCATGTGGGCCGAGTCTGTGCCAAAACCAACTCCCCGAATGCCTTCAGGCCAGGTTTTGCCTTGTCACAGGCCCTTTCTACGGGGTGCGGAATAGCCACCAGTGAGAACCTTCGTGTAGCGCAACACCTGCTGATGGTGGTGGTGATGTGGATGAGGATGAGGACGAGGACGACAACGATGACGAGGATGGCGATCATGATGACGATGACAAAGACGAGGATGGTGGCGGTTGCGATGATGGCGCTGGAGATGCCGATGAGGATGGGGGTAGTGGGGAATGTGATGACGATGATGATGATGATGATGATGATGATGATGATGATGATGATGACGATGATGATGATGATGATGATGAGGATGAGGATGAGGATGAGGATGAGGATTAGGATGAGGATGAGGATGAGGATGAGGATGAGGATGATGATGATGATGATGATGATGATGATGATGATGATGATGATGATGATGATGATGATGATGATGATGATGATGATGATGATATCATTTTGGTCCGTGGTTGGTTTCAGCCCACATGGGCGCGTGCAGCCTTTGGTTGAGGCGGACGAAGGCAAACATTCCCCAAGTTACTGCCTGCTCCCCACGACTCCTCTTCCCACTGCCTTCGTTTAGACGTGGAAGGGGTCATCGTCGAAACAAGGAATGGAATTTGAGCGTGCCATTTCTGCTGGAACCCCCGTGGTTGGTTTGGAAGGAACCGACCAGGAAAGGAGCCAACCTGCACGGATGAAAAGGAGAGCGTCAGGTTGAGCTGATTGCGTCGGATGAGACTTCTGACGCGGGCTTGGTTTTGATGGTTGCTTGTTTGCCTGAGAAGGGTGCGCTGGGGCAGGGCGATTCCACAACTGCACATCTTGCCCTTTCTCAAGAGCTCGTTTCCAGCTTTTGTTTGACGTGTTGCGCTGATGGACGCCCCAGCAACAAAAAGGCGCCCGAATCAGGTTGCAAGAGCCTTTCTGCGCGCCAGTTTTAGTGGGCGCCGAGAGGGATTGATTGGGAAAACCGCTGGATGTTTGGCGGACCCAAGGCCGATCTTGCAGGGACACTGTCCGAGAGTCTCGGGAGTGCATGCGAGCGCGGAACCCACGGGTTTCTCGCGGAGTTCAAGGGATTGGCGTACACAGACTACAGCGTGGCCATGCTTGAAAACGGGGTGTCTGCTGCTTGAGTTTGGCCTGGCTAGCTTTGTTGCGGAAATGAACCGCACGGAGGCAGAACGCACCCGGGCAAGTGGGAAGCGGAGGTTGATCAGCACTGGTTGCAGGTGCATGTTTGTTGGCTAGAGCCAAAATAAAGACCGCAGTCGAGCGGAAGGGGGGGGCATGAATGATCCAACGAACTCAAACGGATCTTTGGGTGTTGGGTCGGATTTGTGCAGGATCTGTGCTTGAAGTGCTTGCTGCACCCCCAGATTCCCATTTTCATGGCAGGATGCCGACCAAAACCATCCGGAGCCCGAGCTCAAGTACCCGGGCCTCCCAAAGCCCAAGAAGGAGTAGCGGCTCGTGCGGGGGATGCACGCGGCATGGGTGAGTGGCAAGGGCTTCCTGGTGTTCTTGCGGCGTTTGAAGCCATTTTCAGTTGTTAGAGCAGTTGGTTGGTTTGCGTTTGGCTTCCGCTTGACACCATTAACCAGCAGAAGCCCCAACTGCTGAGACGCCTTTCGGGTGTCTTGGGAAGTGACCCGCAAGCCCAGGATCGATCCTTGCACGCGAACCTTGGATCGCCTCAAGAACGGAGCGGGCGGACGCGGCAGTGCCGGGTCCGCTTTGATGCTGGCGCAGGCAACGGCGCATGGCACAGACACCTGGTGTCGCTTTTTCGAGGTCTCCCCTACTGACCATGTCTCAACCAGGGGATCGGCTGCACTGCTGATGGATGGCTTACATACCATGCCTGACTCATGTTTATTTCTGGTATTTGTTGCGGTCATCTTCGCCATGCAGCTCCATCAACAGTCGGCCAGACCTCGTTTGTACAGGAAAGCGCTAGAGAGTTCCCTCGGCCGTGGCAAAACGAGGATTACTCAACAAGGCAGTTCTTCGAAGAGCGCACGTGCTCTGGGGAGTTTTGATGGTCCAATATTCTTTCGGCAGCCCAGCTACACTTTCGGCTTTTTCGCTCACGTGGATGAAACAAAGGTGTCAAGAGACGGATTTGACTGACTTGTGGCGAATCGCTTATATTTTGAATTCTGCATATGGTTCTCTATTTTGGATATGTCAAGAAGGGGGCACTCCGCAAAAACAACAGCTTGCTCCTGGGGCGAGTTGTGTTTACTGCCCCCAAATTCGGACCCCAGGGCTGCAGGCTGGCGGATGGCGGATCCTTGACTTTGAGGGGGGAAGGCTCTTGAGATGGGTAAAATGGTACGGCCAGAAAGCAAGGCTGTGCCCTTCTTTCTGAGATCCTCTTTCAGAATGCTGAGCCGGACAGATTCGAAGGTGTCCTTGTGTTTGGAAGTGTGTCAACGGATGATTGTCGACGGACGCCACAAGTAGCGCAATGCACGTGTCTCAGAGGCAACCGCCCCCCCCCCCCCCACCTGCTCCTTAGAGGGTGCCCAAATGTTCGTGAAGATGCGGCAGCAGGATATGGACATTTGTGTCTCTCCACGGTGTTTTCTGGTTTCCTGCGTACCCATGCAGCCCATTTTTGGAGTTATGGCACCATTGAATTGTTTTGTTGGCCTTCCCATTTCGCCAGCATGGGATGTTGCAAGCTATTTGGCATTCTTGACGTTCTTGGCCCTGCTCTCTTAATTTTTTGTGTGCTTGTGTGGCGCGCTTCTGGCATTTTCCCTTTGGAGCCCTTGGCCGGCCGCCCAGCCAAGAAGCGTTTCGGGCTTTCGAGAGATCGCATCCCGCATGGAGTCCATGGAGCCGGTGTCGCCCGTGGGATCGCCCATGGAGCAGTTTGCCTTGCAGCTGGGCGAGGTGCCTTGGGGAGGAATAGGCGGATTTGCATGAAACACGCGGAAGCGCGCGCAGCACGCACTTGAGTGCCCTTAGGAGCTTGAAGGATGCTGAGCTACGCGGGCCAAACACCATTTGGGTATGGGTCAAAATCAAACCACAAAATACCCCAGGTTTTCGCCCTTGGTTCCATTTACCGGGGCTCCATTTCGGGGTTACCCTATTTTTGACGCACCATTTGATTGTGGGGCTTTGTCCAAACCCAGCGATTGCATCAAGTGACTCAGGTGTCGAGGCTTCTAACTAGCTTCGAGCCGCGGCAGCAGCGGGTGGCCCTTGCCGCAACAAACCATGACCTGGACACTTTGGAGGCGGAGCTCCAGGCCGGGAGAATGGATGGGTGGCTCGTCTTGTTTTGTTTGGGGGCACCGCCCCCCCCACCCCCCAGAAAAAGATAAAAAAAAGTGTTTTTTAGGGTACCCCCTAAATACGTGTATATAATTATGTATAGTGGTCTTCCTTGTGGTTTCCTTTGAACACCGCCAAAAAAGGGGTGACATCAAAAACAGACCCACCCATAGTCCTCTTGGACTGGCAAGAGCTGGTTCGGCGTGATTCTATGTAAGGGAGATGTCCGGGTCGCTCACGGTTTCTGATTTTGCTGCACGGATGCATCTTGCAATCTTGACAGTGGCGCGTAAGGAAGAGCGTGATTCATGCAGATACATTGCTTGGTGGGAGTCATGGGACAACTTAAGACACTCATGCCAGACTACTGATGATGATGATGATGATGATGATGATGATGATGATGATGATGATGACGACGACGACGACGACGATGATGATGATGATGATGAGGATGAGATGAGGATGAGGATGAGGATGATGAGGATGAGGATGAGGATGAGGATGAGGATGAGGGGTGGTAATGGCGGTGCACGCCAACATAGACACGAAGGCTTAGGGTTGGCCAGAGGACTGGAACGGTTCTGATTTGGAAGTGGGGTCGTCCCGCAGGAGCAGTCGGGAGAGCCAGACCCCGACCCCTTCGGAGTCCGTGAATGGTGGAAGAAGACGTGTCCGGAGACGGTGCAGCGGCTGAATTGGATGCCTCCCTTGGAATTCAGCATGCGTTTTGGTTCCTGACCCATCTTGGATGTGAAGCGAGGCACAGTGACAGCTTTTTGAAGGTTTCGGCGGCTGTTGCCACTAAGACGAATCATGAGCTCGATTTGAATCCGCATGCCAAGGATACAGGAGGATCAAGAGCAGAACATGGGGTTTGTGGGCTCGGTGGAGACTGACGTCCTGATTAAGTTGCAGGCGCACGGGCAGACGTAGAGACCGAAGCAAGCTTTCTGCGGGAAGGGCGAGGGAGAGCGCCTAATTTACCCAAAGAGACCCTGGGCTCGATTTTTGAAAGGTGGTCTTTGATTCTTTTTCGCATTGGGTTGTCGTGTGCTGGGTACTGGACGCTTGAGTGAGTCTTTCTGCAGGACTGCAAGGCCGAGGCGGAGGAGGCGGACGCTGCGGAATGGCAAGAGTGGCTGCAAGGCCTGCGCGACCAGGGTCTGGAGAGCCTGAAGCACCACACGGAGAGACTCGCGCAGGTGGTGGATGGCGATCAGATGCAAGAACAGGACCTTCTTGCCAGTTTTGCTTGTCTTTCTTTCTGGGAGTGGTTTCAAAAGTGGGAGGCAAATTGCATGGCGGCAATTTTGAAAGTGGGAGGACACTTGAAAGCCAGGTTGCATGGTTGATTTAACGCCTGTCAGTGACGTTTTATGTTTGGCTGCATGCTGCTGCGCTCACCTACGCAATGCACAAAATCTCTACTTTTTGGACTGCCCGCATCGCTCTCCTCGGTGTCCCCGCTCTCCCCGCTTGATTTTTTGACGCGAAGGACGACATCTTGCGGGGCGAAGAGCTGAATGACAGCCAGATCCGGCTCATGACCCCGGAGCAGAAGTCCCTTGCGCAAGAGGAGGCCCAGTCCAAACGCGAGAAGACGCGCTTCCTGGCGGGCGCAAAGCTCGCGAAGGAGCCAAACGCTTGTGCGCATGCACCGAATCCGGTTTGCGTTTTCAATCCCAGGTTTGGTGCCAGTTTAAGTTCAGTTCAGTCAAGATGTATCTATTACTATCATGTTTATTATTATTGTTAGTAGTACTACTGCTACTACTACTACTACTACTACTACTACTTCTACTTCTACTACTTCTACTACCTCTACTTCTACTTCTACTTCTACTTCTATTTCTCCTCTACTTCTTCTACTACTACTACTACTACGACTACTACTACGACTACGGCTACGACTACGACTACGACTACGACTACGACGACAACTACGACTACGACTTCGACTTCGACTTCGAATGTGACTACAACTACTGTTGTCATTACTACTATGGTCTTTATTGATAATTGTTCCTACTAGCTATTGATGCGCGTATTTCCTTATTTCATGCCTTCGTCCTTTCTGTTGTTCCTCTGCCCTCGTTTCTTTCTTTTTATGTTTATGTATTTGCAAAGTTACTTGTTTCTGCATGTACTTGTCTATTTATTGACTGGCTTATTGTCTTATTGTCATTAGCATTATGTTCATTATCAGTATCATTGATATCATTATCATTGTCACTGATATCATTATCATCACTGTTACTATCATGGTTCCCTCGCTAACCATATATTAGTCATCATTGCAATATTTGTTTATTTGTCATTATTTTGCGACTGTCAATCGAAGTTTGATAGAGTCTTAAGCAACCGAATCAACATGAAAACAAGTGTTTCATGCCTGAGCCGAATGATCCTTTGCTCCCGTTTTGGCTTCAGAACGGGTGTGACGGGAACCTCTTTGTAAGTGACCAGCGTCTTTTAGTTTTTTTAGGCAGACTTCCCACAGTAGATGTTTCACCTCGGTGCGTCGTTGGCGAAGCCAAACTAGATGTCCAAAACAATGAGACGCCGCCTGACCCAATGTCGTGTCCGAGGCCAAAGACTCGAAGAAGATGGCGATCCCCGAGTGTGAAACATATCACATACATGGGTCGAACGAAGCTTGATATTTTTGTCAGAGAGGCGAGGCAAGGGGAAATTCAATGTCCAGGGCCCTCCGGACATTGAATTTCCACCCCCTTGTAAGGTTCCGTGCGCCTCTCAGCAACAAGAGATGGGTTATAGTTTGAAGGAGGCTAACTTGATTCTATAGGTTAAAGACTATTTGTTATGTTGTCATTTTTACTTGTTGTTTGTTCATCATCATTGTTATTATTATCGTCATATGAATAATAATAATTTGTTGACATCATTGCGCGAACCATTTTGGTTGCCGAAACCTTTCCAAGAAGTGAACCCTTCCTTTCCAGCCACCTTTTCTTTTTCCAAGAGGGAGCGTGCCACGGGAGCAGCTATTTTGCTCCCCGTCCCAGTTTTCCCTCGCAAGGAGCTGCTGGCGGGAGGGTTGCCGATGCACCTGGACCAGGTGCAGGGCTTGTTGGCCAAGGCGCACCAGGCCCAACAGAGCCTTGGCTTTGTTTTCGGGTGGCTAGACACCCGCTGCTGCATTGGTTGGTTTTCCATGGGCAACATGAGAAAGAGCCTGCCTTTCTCTTGTATTGGAACCCCTTGTTCAAGTGAATTTTGGGGTACTGTAACCGTGGTAGGCAACATACTGAGGGGCTTTGATGCCCCTTGAACAGACGGAGGTACACGTTGAAGAAACAGCGACATGGCCCAGTATGTGAATTCAACCTCACACTCTTCAGCTTGTCCATGAGTGCGCTTCAGTGCCGTTTTGTTTCGCTATGAGGATCGGCGAGGCTGCAGCTAAGAGCCAAACGCAAACCAGCGAGGAGTTGGAGCAGCTGACCAGCTACATCCAGGACACGTAGAGGTTCAAGCAGAAAGCGCAACGTGTGTTGGTTACGGGGTTTCCCTTGTCCACCTGCTTCCTGAGTAGAATCCAGGAGACGGAGAGCTACATCCAGGAGGGGCCCCTGCGTGTGGCGAGGGAAACCACCGTGGAGAACATGGAGAGCTGTCGGGAGGCGGCCATGGACGCTTTGCAGAACGCGGCCCTCAAGCTGAAGACGCTGGTGACTTCGATGCTGCACTACGAAGCGCAATGGTGGTGCCTGGCCAAATGACGCGGGCATATGTGTTGTCCGACGCCAAATACGATTCTAGGTCGATGAAGCTGCTTGTGCGTGCGGTGTAGTCACCATGGATTCCGGACCAGAAGACCAGAGCTTCACTGCTTGTTTCTGTGACTTGCGGAAACTCCGTGAGACCTTGTCGCTCGTGGTTGTCCAGGCACTGGCCATTGGTTGGTCAGTCGGTTGGTCAGCCGCTTCTTTGCAAAAGGACAGCTAGCGCTAAAGTGGTGAATGGGAACCAGCCAGTCAGCAAGGCAGACAGACATCAGTCGGTCGGTCGGTCGGTCAGTCAGTCAGGCAGTTAGTGAGCCAGTCAGTCAGTCACTCAGTCAGTGAGTCAGTCAGTTAGTCAGTTAGTCAGTGCGTTAGTCAGTAAGCATATCAGTTGCCGCTTGATGATACCTACGCAAAGGGGTACCCTGGGCCCTGTCGACCGGACTTTTTCTCAACGAGGAAAAAAGGAGCCGAACTTTGAACCATGAAGCTTGCACTTGGGCTGGACGTTCAGATCAATGCCAAGGGGGAAATCATGTTCGAGAACTCCCCACGTGCCGAGGCTCGAAGAAAAGCTGCGGGCTGAGGTGGCACGAGGGCGCGAGAGCGTGCCGGCGGCCCAGACCGCGAAAGACCTAGCGGCAGACGCGGCGAAGCTCACGTTGGTGGAGGCACAGACGCAGCAAATGTCTATGGGCGCTTTACACAGCTTTCTGAACATTTGAGGGGTTCGCGCCTTTGTTGGGGCATGTCTGCTGCCGACGTTGAAGGGTGTGCTTTTTCAAAGGGGTTGCGATCTTGGGAACCACCGAGCAGCTTGTGCTTCAAGAAGCCGCAGGTGCCCAGTCCTTTCTTTGCCCGGGCTCGATGAGCACATGGAAGTTAGAAGGAATGAGCACCCCTGAACATGGGGACCAAATCGTCACTGTGAAGTTTTTGCCTTCTAGGCCGGCCGCGCTGGGTCAAGCATGGAAGAAGCGGTGGAGGCTGGCTCACGGGGCAAAGCCGCAACCACGCGGAGGTTGTTGACATCCATATTTGTTGTGGCTGCCTTATCCAGAAAAGCATTGGGCGGTTGCGCACAGTGCACTGCACTCCTCTCAGACGGACTGGCAATGTGGCTCAAGAGGTCAGAAGGTCAAGTTCCAAAAAACGTCAAGGGGCCTGGAAACACCTTTATGCTTGCCAAGGCCCTGGCTTTTCTACTCATCGGGGGGGGGGGGGACAAAGCGAGATTTTTAAGGATGCCCGCAAAGTCCGCGCGGCTGTGCCTGGCTTGCGCGCATGCCGAAGAGCCGAATTCACGCACAGGGCCGTGTTTTCTGCCCATATTTGTTCCCCATGAATTTCCGCTTCTTCATGCACAATGCTTATATATGTATATATATATATATATATATATATGCTCACCCCCCCCCCATGATCCACATTTGGCATTGCTGCAGTGTATGGTCTCAGGTTTGGCTCCTTAATTTGAATGGCTGAAGTACTCTTAGCCCGTCTCCCAATGGAGGCTGTTAAAATAATAACAGCCATGGCAACGAGCGCCACGCCGAGCCCTATCGCTCCATCCAGATGGCCTACAAAAGTAGGTTATCTACCATGTGGCTACTTGGCCGATTTCATCGAGTCGAAAACTGCAGTTTCTTATGGGGTTTCTGCTGTCATTTCTGCTCTTGCCCATCTAAGGATCGGAAGTGTTCAGCTTCGAAGGCTTGCACTTCAAGATCAGCGCGAGCGAGGAGACCGTCCTCCAAGAGAATGAACTTGGCTTGATTATGAGTGAGAGGCATTTGCCATAGTTTTTTATGGGACAGTCCTTAGGACTGCTTTTACTCTCTCAGTTTTCCAAGCCGCAAGGAAAAAAGCCTGCTGACCATGTACGCCTGAGTCTGCTTGCATATCAAGCTCATTAAGTTTCCTTGTGCTATACTGCATCCATTGCAAAGCTGGGCAACTTTCTGATATTCCAACCCCATGATCCAGCTCGTCGGAGTGACAAACATCTGCTACTGCCTTCCCACATCCACAATTTTAAAAAACAGTACAGCACTTTCTGCATGCTTAAAAGTCCTGTACTGTCCCTAAAATCCAGGCCTTGGAGGCAGAAAGTGCTGCACTGTCCCTAAAAAAACTAAAAAACCATTCCAGAAACAGTCTTGAGCACACAAACCTCCTTCTGGCAAGGAATTTTTGGTTTTTTACGGACAGTACAGCACTTTTTTTGGTTTTTTAGGGACAGTACAGCACTTGCATCAGCATGCAGAAAGTGCTGTACTGTCCCTAAAATCCAGGCTTTGGAGGCTGAAAGTGCTGTACTGTCCTTAAAAAACCTAAAAAAACATTCCAAAAACAGTCTTGGGCACACAAACCTCCTTCTGGCAAGGATTTTTTTGGTTTTTTAGGGACAGTACAGCACTTTTTTTGGACATGTCCCTAAAATCCAGGCTTTGGAGGCTGAAAGTGCTGTACTGTCCCTAAAAAACCTAAAAAAACATTCCAAAAACAGTCTTGAGCACACAAACCTCGATTTTTTGGTTTTTTAGGGACAGTACAGCACTTTTTTTGGTTTTTTAGGGACAGTACAGCACTTTTTGCATGCTGATGCTCAAAAAATGCTGTACTGTCCCTAAAAAACTAAAAAAAGTGCTGAAAACCAAAAAAAGTGCTGTACTGTCCCTAAAAATCAAAAATTCCTTGCCAGAAGGCGGCTTGTGTGCCCAAGACTGTTTTTGGTTTTTTAGGTTTTTTAGGGACAGTACAGCACTTTCAGCCTCCAAAGCCTGGATTTTAGGGACAGTACAGCACTTTCTGCATGCTGATGCAGTGCTGTACTGTCCCTAAAAAACCAAAAAAGTGCTGCACTGTCCCTAAAAAACCAAAAAAAGTGCTGTACTGTCCCTAAAAAACCAAAAAAAGTGCTGTACTGTCCCTAAAAAACTCAAAAAAGTGCTGTACTGTCCCTAAAAAATCAAAAATTCCTTGCCAGAAGGCGGCTTGTGTGCCCAAGACTGTTTTTGTTAGGTTTTTTAGGGACAGTACAGCACTTTCAGCCTCCAAAGCCTGGATTTTAGGGACAGTACAGCACTTTCTGCATGCTGATGCTCAAAAGTGCTGTACTGTCCCTAAAAAACCAAAAAAGTGCTGTACTGTTCAAAAAAACAAAAAAGTGCTGTACGTCCCTAAAAAACCATAAAAAAGTGCTGTACTGTCCCAAAAAAACCAAAAAAGTGCTGTACTGTCCCTAAAAAACCAAAAATTCCTTGCCAGAAGGAGGTTTGTGTGCCCAAGACTGTTTTTGGAATGGTTTTTTAGGTTTTTTAGGGACAGTACAGCACTTTCAGCTTCCAAAGCCTGGATTTTAGGGACAGTACAGCACTTTCTGCATGCTGCTTCCATAAGTTCCATCTGCTCCCTGCTAACTTTTTTCCAGAAGGCTGTCCACACAAACCATCTGTAAGCATCTGCTTCAAGTTGCCTAACATCTGTCCATCAAGAATGTCGCAATCTTTGACTAATCTACTCATCAAGAATGATGCTTGTTTTTGACCCAAGTTTCCAGGATCAGAATCTGATCCTGGAACAGGTGGTCAAAAACAAGCATTTTACATGTGTTTTTCCAGTGTTTTTTGCTTGCAAGAGGCAAAATGTGGATCATGGGGGGGGGGTGACCATATATATATATATATAATATACACATGCCTGCACAAAGTTCCTTCTGACCTTCCTTTGTTGATACAGATTTGAGCAACAACTGCAATTTTATGTTCATAAATATCTGTATATGAACATGCACAGTAGCATGAATGCCAGAAACAACGGCCACGCCTCTGCCCCAACCAACCGCCAAGCGGCCGCGTCTCGTCTTTTTTGCAGGCGGCGGAGGCGGCGCTGCGGCCGCGGGCGCAGGGCGCCACAGCGCTGGCTCTGGGCAACGTGCTGCTGGCGCAGCATCTCTTGAAGCGCCTGGACGAGGAGTTTTGGATTTTTTTGTTTTAAAGAGAAATGTCCCTTTAGAATATGACCAGGCCATGCTTTGTTCCTGGGTTTTGTCTCTTTTCTTGTTGTTGTTTTTCATGAGAAAAGAGCGTGTAGAAGCAATTGCCAGGCAACTCTTTGTTAAAATGTGCCTGTAGACGCAATTGCTAGAAAAAGGCGCCCTTCCTTGTGCTATTTGTTTCTGTTTTTTTTTTTTTTTTTTTTTTTTGCGGGGTTTACTCTAGTGTGGTCGGGCATACTTGCCCCTGATGTTGACTCAGATGGGTCAGGTGCCTCTTTCCCGTGTTTAGGCGGGACTGCATAGGCCCCGTCCTGTCAGGACAAAGCTGCAGAGATCAGCTCGAAGGACAAGGCGGGGCGAAAAATCTCTCACTGCCTGACTGGGACCTACCCCCTACTCCAAATACCTGCTTTTTTTTTAATGGTATTTTGGGTTTTCATGGTAAATAACATGTTTTAGTCGACATGATACCCTGAAAAAGCGGGTATTTGGAGTAGGGGGTAAATCGTTTGGGCAGGTGGAGTGCATATATCGACCCGTTACTCGTCAGCGGCTTCACGCCTTTGAAACAGATGCGCGCGGATCATTTCGCGAACCCACATTGAGCGTCTCGCAAAAAAAGGGATTCTTTGAGGGGTTTGGAACAGGGTGTTTCTGGCCCAACCTTTCCTTTCCAAGGGCAAGCTCAAGTTGGAGGGTGGCCGGCACGGCACGGGAGGGGTGGGCATTGCATCCATGTGTCGCCTTCAAAGCCCAGGAAGTTCTTGGGATACTGAGAGGTGGGTTTTTGTATTACACCTTGGGAATACACCCACTGGGTATTGACCTGATTGAGCCACGGCGGCAATCCCAGGGTGTAATTCAAAAACCCTCAGCCCTTTGAACAAAACGAGCCGGCCAGGCGTTGCAGAGGGTCAAGCAGCAGGTGCAAAGCCTCACAGAGAAGCTGCGGCAGGGCGGCCGGGCGCATTCTGTCCACGACGGTAGGGAGGAGACAGTGGAAGGAAGGGATGGAGGAGGGTTGGATGGTGATGTTAGGCCGGAGAGAAAAGACGGCCTGGAGTCACTTCTTTCACCATCCAACATCTCATCCCTCATCTCTTTCCTTTCCTATCATTAACCCCTAGAATAAGATAAGGAAAAGAAAAGGGGGTTAATGGGAAAGAAGAAAGAGATGGGACTCGCTCCTTCCTATGTCCTTTCGGTCTCTCCTTTCCCTCTCTTGACCATAGGAAATCACGAGTCTTAAGGACGAGGCAATTGACGGGAAAGAGAGGGAAGGAAGTGATGGATGCCAACTCGCCATGAAGCATAGCAAATAGAGAGGCGAGAGAGCAAGGCATCCATCCTCTCTTTCATTCCACCGTCTCTCAGCTATTAATCTCTTGAATGGAGAGACGGGTGAATGAAGAGTAGAGAGATGACAGGAAGGAAGCTCTCGTCAGCCATTTCTTCCCCATCTATATCTTCATCAAGTTCTGGTTAGTATCTGCAAATGATGGGGAGAAATGGGAATGAACAGACGAGAGAAACGAGGAGGTGAGTGAATCCTATGGCTCTTTCCGGGCTATTTCGTTCATCCTCAACCGTCGAACGAAGAGAGATAGCCCGGACAGAGGGTTGACAGCGAGCGGAGAGAGCGGGTCCATTCCTCTCTTTCACTTCCCCTCGCGAATCGCGGGTTTGGGAAGTAGAGAGAAATGCTTGGCCTCTGGGCTCTTCCATCCTTCTTTCTTTTCCAAATTCTAAGATGTAGAAAGGGATGGAAGAAGAGAGCCCAGAGAAGATAGCCTTGGCAGCTGGAAGTCTTTTCGTTTCCCAACATTGAAGAGCTGCCAAGATGAATGAAAGAGAATAGACAAGAGAGAATGGGAAGGCATAGGAAAGGTAAAGGACAGGAGATATAGCCGCTCCTTCACATCTTAAAGTAATTCCAGATAATAAATGATAGTAATAAAAGCCATGAATGATAACCAAGAGAAGCTATCCATCCCTCATTCCCTACCATTCCCATCCTTTCCCATTATCTCCCTCCCTTGCCTTGCTTGGAAGCCATCCCTTATCCTTTAGGATGTCACACAGGTGAAAGGGATGTACAAGGGAAGGCAAGGCCAAGAGAAAGAGATGAATGAAAATGCCAGGCGGTTCATTCCCGCCCAATATACACACTCTCTTTCCATTCTATTTCCAGCTATTTAGATTCCTAAGAAGATAGGAATGACAGGTTACTCCTCACTTCGTTCGGGTGAAGGGAATAGCTCTCTCTAATCCATTCCATCTTCGTTTACATTCTATATCTTGGTCTTCAACCGTCGGGAACGAGAACCGAGAAGAAGCGAGGTTACATGGTTAACTCCTTGCCTTTTCCTTTCATTGTTCTTTTCTTTTCATATCTCTTTCTCTTTACTATCCGTTCACCTCGTCTTTCACTTACCAGTCATTGTCATTCCGTCTCTTTCCCTGTCTCTTCCTCTCGGCCATTGCCTCGTCCATCGACAGTAGAGAGATGAGAGAGAGCAATGAGAAGAGAGAGGAAAGAGATGGAAGAAGGTAGGAAGAGATACAGTGTGAGAAGAGACGCTTCCTAGCGGCTATTCCACCTTATCTCCCACCTCTTCCCTTCCCTCATCTCTCTCCATCCATGCCGTCCCTCCCGCCTCTCGGCGGAGCTGTGGCTGCAAAAAAGGTGCCGCGGGGTGCGGTAAAAAAACACGGGTCATTTTCGGAAGCTCACAAAAGGCGTGTGAAGGGATGCGCTCATTTGGAGGGAACGGCGTGATGTGCCTGGAAATGGCAGAGTTGTTTTCAAGCGAGCCGAAGTTTGTTAACTTCTTGTGAAGCGGCTATGACTCACACGATCAACGGAAAACCTTATTGGTGGTCTATTGTCAGTTTCCGGGGAGAAACATGGAGCGTTTCCCGAACATAAACCCATGACCCGGGGTTTTTGCGCAAGCGGTCCATGCTCCGAGGACAGAGCTGGCGGCGAAGAAGTCGGAGCAGAAGAAGCTGGAGGACGCGTTGGCCAGCTGCGCAGCGGAGCTGCGCGAGGTGCAGGAAGCGGCCGCCGCTGCCGAGAAGCAGAAGAAAGCCTTCGACGAGCTGAGAGGCGGGGGGAAGGGTCTGGATTTTGTTTTTGAGGAAGGCGCGGAAGTTTTTGGGGGGCGATTTAAAGGGAGATCACAAGAGCAAGTCACTTTTTTGTTTTTTTTGAACATTTTTTTTCTTCAAAAAAAGACACAACTGTGTAGGGTGTCAAGGGGTGAAGATCGCAAGGTGGGGAAGCCCGCCTTGGGTTCTCTTTTTGCCGAGCTTGAGGAAACAGCTTCATGCTGCTGCTAGCGCATGGGCGCTGGTCTTCTGTTGGAGAGGTTCTTGCTAAAAACTCTTCCCAAAACGGACATTGATACTGAAGGAATGACATTTTAGATGAAAGGATGTGCTTTCCACGGGGCCTCAAGTCCCTCGTTTGTTCGCGTAGAAGCTCTTTCTTCTTTGCATCTCTTGCACTTTTATTTCACGACCTGGCTCAGGGGGCTACAACTTGAACGTGGATACGCAGTCTTCAAGGGCGATGGCAGCTCATCAGAACAGATCTAGGCATGCAGTCGTTTAGGCGATTTGAGTAGCCAGCAGCAAGCCCGAAATAAGCACCACCATCAAAAGCCTTTGTCACTTGCACCTGACAAGGTTGATGACCAATCCATTCGAATACATTCAGACAGTAGTTACGAGTTTGAGCGCAAGGATCCCCTCCAGACATCCAGGATCAAACAATGGTGGAGACTCCTTTTTTCTCGGCGGAAGCGCCACTATACGGCATCCCCAAGAAAGGGTTGGGCCCATGCAGGGCTTGCCAACTGGGACTGGACAATGTGCCATCCCACGTCCGGCCTGCCCAAAGGACCGGATCACGGCCGCCTACGGCAATTTGCGGCTGCCGTGGATGGACGCGGACACGGAGACAGAGGAGGCGCATGTGGACGAGCCCACCACGGTCTTGAGCATCCGGCGGCTCGGAGGGAAGATGTAAGAAGGGCCGTTCATCCCGGATGCCCCTGGTTTGGTTGTTAACTGGGTTAACTGGGTGCATTTGCAATGGACACTGTGAGTGCGCCTTCAGACATTTTGGGGCTGAGCGACTGTGGGCGCTGAATTTGTTGTTGCACGTCTACTGGGATGAGGCACGTACCAACTGGTCCGTCCATCCACAGTACGAGAGGGGGTGACCTGTCTCCCTAAAGCTGTCTGCCAATTTTTCGAAGGAGTTCTGGCTTTTTGACTCAGCTCCAATGGGAAAGAGATGAAAGCTCGCTTGGGTTTGACTCGTTTATGTTTGTGTGTGTCAAAATAGGGTGACCAACAAAATGGGGGTCCATTACATTCCCTTGATTTCACAAGGCGAACAGGGTAGCCTCACCCCGATTTGTCACAGGTCCAAAGACTCGCGGATCGAGAAGCTGCAGGAAGAGCTTTTGAAGCAGAAGGAGTACAGGAAGCAAGACAGCAAGGAGACCTTGCAGCGCGAGCAGGTGCTTGCGCCGCTTGCGCCGCTTGCGCCGCTTGTGCTTGTTCTCCGGTGGACTTTCCAGTTACTCCAGCTTCTAAGATTTCTTCAGTGAATCTATGAAGACAGGGTGCCGTGGCTGGGCCATGTCTGGACCGTGGTCAAGTCCGGTTTTCAGGGACTTTTTGGGCAGGCGATGAACATGAAGTTGGCGATCCTGCAAAAAAAGTTGGAGGAACTCGAAGGAAAAGGTGGAAAAGGTGAGGAGGACAAATGCTCGGCCCTCAGCGATCGGTGTGACCAGAGAATGCAAGTGAAGGTTGTTCCAGTAGGTGGCGTTGGGACGGCAATCTATGATGTTGCAGCATGCGCAGGCATTCATAGGCCACTTTTCCAGCATCAGCAGCATCACCAGCATCACCGGCATACCCAGCGTCGCACTTCTGCTGGCAAACAATCATTGATTGCCAGAACGCCGCAAGCATCATCAGCATCATCCGCAAACATGAGACAATAATTGCCAGCATTACTCAGCATCATCAGCATAGCTGGAAGTGTTCACTGCTCGAACAAGTTCCCTGCAAAAAGGTAACTTGCCACCTATTCAAACAGCGGCTTTCTTTCTCCTTCCAACTTCTCCTGCCAACTTTTTGAGTCGTACTTTACTAGCCTAAGACAAGCTAACATCTGTATCTCTTTTCGGGTGTCCTTCACCATCCTAAAATCACAAGCTACAAATCCAAGGACACTTTTCGGGGGTGGTCTTACCATCCTAAAATAAAAAGCTAACTTTCCTCTTCCGAGTCATAGTTCTTCTTCTTTGCCTGCGGCGGGCAGACCCGACGGGAGCTATCGAAACGCAGCCCTCTGCAGAGATCAGCCCAGCAGCCAGCCAGCCAGGCAGCCAGGCAGCCAAGCAGGAGGCAGCCAGCCAACCAACTAACCAACCCGGCCGCAGGCTGCCAAAGTCTGGGGATGCAAGGGACCTTGTCTGTTATCCATGTGTTCATTATTTGTTTCCCCACCTCTGGTTTTCTCCTTGAGCGGTTTGTGTCCTATCCAGCAGGTGCGCTGCAACTCATGTGCAAGAAACGTTGATGCCAAAGGTGAGCCTGTTTCATTTGAAGTTCTGAGGGCGGAATGGGGAGTCCTTTTGACTGCTTCCTTGGTTGAGGCTCTTTGGCCTCGTGGATGCCTGTCGACGAAGCAGGTGGCCCGATCCCCAATAACTTCAGTTGCTTGACAAGTGGGGCTTGTTTTATGTGGAGCTGAAACGTTTAGTTTTTAAGACCCTTCTGATGAAAGGGCTTCTTCTTGTCACCTCCTGACCAGGCAGAAAGCTTTTAAGTGTGAAAGTCCTCTGTGCCTCTTCAGAAGATTCTGTGCAATACAGTGTCGTTGGGCGTTCGTCTGAAAAAAAAGGGTCGAAGTGAGCATGGACTATATAAATCAAATATAAGGGCCAGGGTGTTTCTAAAAACCGTCCCTGGATCGAAAATGAAGATTGCAGATCCCCCAACAATCGTTTTTTGAGAATCTTCAATCCTGACAAGCCAACACATTTTAGATATTTTCTAAAGTGTGGGGTTAGTCAGGATTGCCGATTCTCAAACAAGTTAGCTGGGGGATCTCCAATCTTCAATTTTCAATCCCAGGGGGAAGAAGCCCAGGGAGCAACTTTAAAGCTGTCTTGCGGGCCTTCACGTTTTCTGCACAAATCTATGTGGAATCTTCAAACTTCAATGTTCGATCCAGTGGAACATGCTCTGAGCTGAAGCCATGTTCTACTGCGCCATTTGCCAAGGATCAGATCCATGTTTTTGGCGGCATTTTTCTGTTATTGGCTTGACTCCGTTCTTGCTTACTCAAACCATGACCCTTTTGACATGAAATTTGATTTCCGCGTCAACTGTTTTTTTTGGAAATGCACAAGGAACTGCAATCGGTTAAAATTGAATTTGGGTTCGAGCTTGAAACAGCATTCTAGATTGAATATGCTTCTCATTTGTTTGGTTCAATAGATGTTGTTGACCATGCTTGAATTGAGTTTTACAGGCACAGCACACACGCACACAATAGAGATCGGAATAGTTTTGTGATCGATCTAAGCAATGTTGCATGTAAACAGAATTGAACTATAATGTAAATGCAGCGGCTCAAAGACATGAGCTGCTTAGTTGATTTGGATCCCAGTTGCAAGTGGCAATTAGATAGGAATCAGTTCCTTTCTCCCGCGTGATTATTTTCTGTTTTGCCCAGCAAAACGAACAAATAAGCAACACCGACAACAGAGCTGTTACATGCAAGTTGAAGCTGCCAACGTGTAAGTCACGTACTAGAGAGCTTCGCGTACTACACATATCACACAAGAATGCTAGAATTTGCATGGCAAGCAAGTGGTTTTTGATTGAACCGAAGTTTAACATCTACGTGTCTGTATGTATCAATACGTCTGTATATATACATATGTGTACACACACACACATGTGTATACATATATACATATATATATATAGATACATATGTGTGTAGAGATATATATATATACATGGTCCATGGACCCTGGTTTGCTGCGTTTGACCTGTGTTTTCCGGTGTCTTATGCCTTTTTTTGCTTCTTGGATTTTGTGTCAAAATTAAGGGGGGGGTGCCATATGTATATATGATATGTATGCATGCATACAAATTGATAAACGCAAAGACATCCGCATCTGCAATCTGAAAGGGTTTGAATGTATCCAAGAGTTTTAGCACAACTTTTCTTTTTGGATTCAAGATTCAAGATTCAAGAATCTGAGACTTTTCTGGTCATCTTGAATCTTGCATCCCATAAATTTTAATTGTATAAAGCAATATGGAATTAAGATTCAAGATTCAATAATCTGAGAAATTGTTTTCTGGTATCTTGAATCTTGCTTCCCATTTATTCCAGGGTTGTCCCAATACTCTCGGTGTTCAATAAGATTCTTGGAAAAGCTTTGTGCAGTCCTCAATATCGAATCCTCAATCCAGTGTTAAAACACTTTAAAGTGTTATGAATGTTGTTTGGGTTTGGCCAGGTTTGACAATTCTCAGGAAAGTTTTCCGTGTAATCTTCAATCTTGATTTTTTCTCCTTCCAGTGGTCAAATACTTTCAAGTGCTTTGCGATCCAGTGGACACACTTTCAAGCTAATAACTAGACAAACTTTCAAGTGCTTTTGGTGAGCAGTTTGCTTCATGCCAGCTATGCTCATGGTGACCCTTTTGCAGGAGGTAAACAAAGGCAGGTGTAATGCTCAGAAACACTGTATTTTACAGTCTTTTGTGAAGAGGCGCAGGATCATTCGGGGTACTATATATGTGTGTATGTATGTGTATACAGATATATACATAGCCATATGTAATGTACGTATGTTCACACACCGCCACCCCCCTCTCTTGAACTACCTGTCCACATTTGCTCATTTACTACCTCCACCTTTTGAGATAGAATGGTTTTTGTCTTACTGTGCAAACATAACTTGAAATGCAACTGAATACAACTGATTTAGCTAGAATCCCTGTTTCGAGATAGTTTTAGAATTTGAACCTCTCTTCCCGTGGAATTTCCTTTTGTAAGCACCGTCTAGCAAGTCTAATTTCGGACCTTTCTTGTGCTACAAAAGGGCCAGAATGTAAGTGACACAAATCGTATTTCGAGTTTCCTTGTATATTTAGCCATATTTAATGCGAATTGTATTTGAGAAGTATTTTCATGTAGCTGCTATTTGGAAAGGATTTGCTGATTTAAGCTGTAACTGAACAGAAACACATTTTTGAAAACTACATCCGAACTAAACTGTATTCAAAATTCCAATTCTAGTTGAAGTAAATCCTATTTGGAAAGATCATATTGGGACATTTCGGAGGACTCGGGAAATTTTTAAAAATTTGAATTTCGAGATTCTAGATTTACCAGCCCCAAAAGGCAGTAAAACCAGGGTCCATGGAGGGGGGTTGCATAGAAATATCTATATATATATATATGCGTATGTATATGTATATACATATATACATAAGGATGTGCTCCGAAGCTTTGGGAACTGTTCGCGGCGTTTCGGTTGCCACATTCGCAAAGTCACCCTGTCTGCTGTTTGGGATCTTTCGCCTGTGACTTTTGAGGCAAACGTGTGTCCCCGCAAACCCCCAAAGAGCGACGTTTTGCGTAGAGGGTAGATTCTGCTGTCCGTATTTTGCGCGTGCAACGTAAACTTCAAAAGGGACCCGAGTTAAACCCCTTTGAGTTAACAGAAAACACACACACACACACACAGTTGCTACAAACAGCAAAAGGATTCCGTTACTGCTTAGGGACGACCTTCGCTCCGAGATATCGAACAGTTGGTTTCCCGTGATTCCACCAAAGGGAAATCCTCAGCCCGACGTAGCCATGACCAAGTGTTAGCTGCAGGTCGGGCTGGTGAAGGGGGCGCCTGACCAATGAGGGATCGCAGTTCGTCCATTTGCTTCAAATGTTCAATTGTCCGAGTTGCCTTTACAATAGATGTGGGCTTCCTGAGCAAGTGGACTTTTTGTCGGCCGCTTGCATTTCTGTGAAGGGTGCTTGGCCGGGGCTGTTGGATCTTGCAATAGAGAATCATCAGGAGCTTCTGATGTCCCGAGCGGACATGCGCCCAATCAGGTTGCAAGAGCTACTTTAAAGCTGTACAGTTGGTTCGACAGCCGAGTCTGGCTGGAAGCCAGCTGGGCTCGCAGGGACACTTGCCAATATCATTGTGAGTGCATGCGAGCCAGTTTCAATCACGCACAGATGTACAGGTGTCTTCGACTGTGGCGCCATCAGAGTCTGGTGGTGAAAAGCATGGCGATGGGACCAACGGAGCCGATAGGGCCGAGAATCTGCTTCGTCAGAATCTGAAGCTTGGACAGCGTGGCAGAAGCTTAGTTGCCATTTGGGCAGTTTATTTTTGCGCCGGCAGCGAAGATTGTTTGCGACAGCTTCCCTCCCTGATTTGGTGTGAGGAATTCCGTGTACCGGTCAATTCAGTTTCTGGCCAACGGCTGCCTCCCTTTTCCTGCCGAACAAGGCTTCTGAAAGGGACAGCTAGACCAAGACGAAACCACGGTCACCAGGTTAGGCACCATTTTAGGTGGATTATCGAAGAACCGCTGTGGACCTGGGTGCCAAGAGGAGGGCTGAAACTGCATTCGCGAGCTCTGCACCGAGCCAACCCTGGCTAGAACATTTTTGGTGCCACAACAGTACCCGCCCGAGTTTTTGGTGCTCCTTTAAACTGGCTTTCTCTTGGAAAGTGTATTCCTTCATGCGCAAAACTGTGCTTGCAAGGGCTTGCTTTCAGCTCTGCGCAGCTCGAGTGCTCGGCGCAAGTGCAAGCAAACATAGCGACCTCAGAAGTTGGAGTGCTATCAGACACACTTGATGTTTGCGTGCTGCCTATCTTGGTAAACTGCAAAGTCGGTGTCGCAAGATAGTTGCAGGCGGCCGGTTTGTGCGTGTGTGATACGGATTCACTCCTGACAATGGATCCGACGGGACCTACTATGAGCTTCACTGTCAATGTCAGCGACTGCCAGAATGGCGAGCGTATCTACATGGTAGGAGGATCGAATTTACATGTCATCCTGATGGGCTGAGACCTGACAATCAATGCAAAGGGAGGTTTGGCATGTTTCAGTTCCCGAAGTGCAGGGGTTGCTGCGTGTTGACTTGATTCGAAACTGAGACACTTGGCATAGGGCTCTGACTGGAACTGGTTAAGCAGATGTGCTTTTGGTCTTGATATTGCACGAAGGCCAGATTGCCCACGTCCGGTAAGTTCTGCTTTCTTGTTCGAGCGCAAATGCATGTTTGATGACCCCTATGTTTTTGTTCTCGGACCGAGTGCCTTGAGATGCCACTTGAAAGCCTTGCAAGACCAATCGAGCCCTGCAGACCTCGACGAGTTGGGTGGCTGGAGCCAAGCAAGAGGCATCGAGCTCATGAAACTCGACGCGCAGACCTTCTGCGCTGCTCTGCCTCTAAGCTTTGTGAAGCTCGGTTGGATTCGGCGATTCGGATGCGGACTCGGCGATTTTTTCTTTTTGGGCAGTGGTGCCGGGTGTGGGTAGACCCTTTTTCTATTGCAATCCCAAAGGTGTGAGTGCGGAATGGTTCCCAGGTTCTTTGGTGACTTGCAGGAATGAAAGGTCCTTCCGGTTCAAGTTCGTGCGGATCTGCGAGGATGGCGTCCACTGGGAGCAGGGCGCCGACCGGGAGTGGAGGAGGCCGGATGTGCCGCTGCAGCACGCGCACACCACGGAGGGAGGGGAATTTCGGACCCAGACGATGGACGACAAGCGCGCCGGCCAAAGCGTGCTTTGGTACGGGAACAACTTCGCGACCCATGACTGGACCAAGAGCAAGTTGGCCTCGATCGAGACTCATTTGCGTGAGGCGGGCAGTTGGAATCGTTCCAAAGGCTCGGTTTCAGGTTTCATGCACCGGCGAGCTATCTTGACTTGTCCGGCTTTCCAACAGGAAAACCAAGCCGGGGGGGGTAGCCAGCTGTACCTGACTATTTGTCTTGGCTTGTCTGGCTTGCCAACATCCATTTGGGGTGAGGGTGAAAATTAAACCACCCGGGACCCCAGGTTCGAATCCACCCTATTTACCAGGGTCCTGTTTTGGGTCCCCTCTCACCAGCTAACACCGAAGTGCACAGACTTTCCTCTTGAAAACTGCCTTTCTACCAACAAACCCATGTTAGTTGGTACCCAAAACGGAACCCTAAATGGGGTTTTTCCTGGACTCAAGCCTGGGGTTTTCCCAAAATCCATCGGGGTGAGGTGGAGGCCCGACTGCAGCGGAGGGCCATGGAGGACTCCGAGAAGAACCAGGCGGGTCTCGCCAGGCTGGGGGCCTACTGCGAGGCGCAGCTCCGGGCGCTGCAGCGGGAGAGGCTTGGCCGAATCAGACAACAACTCCCTCAGACTAACAGGGCTCCTTCAAAGATCTCCATTTTGCAACCATTTGAAACATGTGGGCTGTTCAACACCAAAATAAAGGGACACCACCATTTACAAGGCAATGTTGAGGTGTATAATGTAAGGATCCCTGTTGTTAGTCTAACATGGAAGCTCTCTACAAACCCCTTGAAAAGACTTGGTTCTATTTTCAGAGGCCATTTCAGGCTGAGGGAGTGTGTTGCATGGCTGTGTGGCTGTGGGTGAAAAATGCGTACCCAACATGGGTTGCCCTAAACAATGGAACCAAAGACTAAGATCTGCGGGTTTTCTGGTGGTTTATTTTGACCCATACCCATGTGATGCGTGGTCTCCCCACCAACTTGTTCGAGTTGCAAGTGAGTTAGCAGAGAGTGATGCAGGCCATCGCCCCTAGGAAATGCGATTCAGCCAGTTGATCTGCCAAGAAGGGGGGGTCTGTTGGCAGGGCGCGTGAAGAAAACTTGCTACTGCTCAGAAAGTGAGGGAATGGAATGCCCCCGAGATAGACCATCCAACTGGTGGTTTCCTTGAAGGGAATCTCCAGGTTGATACCCACATTCCCTACTGAGCACCGGCAAGTTGTTTCAAGGCTCATGTTTTCTGGGTAAGTTATGATAGCTCGAGAAAACAAAACAACAACCTAGGGTCAGGAAGATGAGTGGCACTGGTTTGGGCATGTGTCCACATCCGACTTGCCTCCTTCTGGAGGGTTGTCCAGTTTTGACAGACCACGTTTCATCCTTTGTCAACCGACAGGTTGACTGTGAAGTCTTCCGTTCTCAATATGCTTACTTTACAGAGGTTGCTTTGCTCGAACTGCCGCATGGCATGAGACATCGAATGATGGAAGTGGAAAGGCTCCCCTTTGAAAAAACACTTGCATGTTTGTTGGCGGGTAGCTGTTGATATCTTCATAATCAGAATGATTGAGCATTGCTCTAAACCTATAGTGGAACAGTGACACATACTTTGTTCTTGCAAAGCTTTACACACAAAACCAAAGTGTTGCAACTGCCACAAGGTTTGACGCGCACTCGCCAAAGCATTGCGCCTGCCATGAACAGCCGCAGATGCAAAAAAGTAGCATGGGATTGCGGTGAGGCAACTATTTTGACCGATTTCTGTCACCAAAGCACTCGCGGAGATGTGCCGATTATACGACAGGAGCAACGCACATGACACTCTAGGTCTAGCAAGTTCCGTCATGCGCATTAGCGCACATCATAATGGCACACGGAGGGGCCCTCGGTCCCAAAATGCCGCGCCTGTACGGCAGAACCACGCTTGCACACGTCAAGGCTGCAACTCAGGCACAACGCCGATGAAACAGCACTTCACTTCCCCAGAATAAGTTCCCCTTTTTCCTTTTTTTGTTTTTTGGGGTCCCCTTTGCTTTCCACTAACCAGGCAAAAAAGATATTTTTCCAGCCAAGTTCCAAGGTCATTCCAAGTGCTCCGATTTCCAGCTCACATTGGCAGGGCGAGTGCGACGCTTGCGGAACGGGCAGAATTTGTCTCTTGACCCCCAGACACGCAATAATTGAACGGGAACCCCTCTGCTAAGCATTTGCGAAAGTAACTTCCCCAGTCACTAGGGGTCTAGAATTCAGCAAGTCTGCTGCGCCAAACCGTTTCCCCTTTCTCCCTTTCTCCCTTTCTCCGCCTACCTTCCCGCCCGCCCGCCCACTGCGCATCCCAGGATCGGTGACATCAAGCTGAAGATCCCGCACCCATCCGCAAAGGCTTCAGAGGCACATGATGCATGCGAATCAAGCACATGCGCGCTGACTCGACGACAACCTACGAGTTTTGGGCGGGTTCTTGCCATCTTGTCGAAGCCTGCCTCCCTTCTTGTCGTGACCTTACATCCCTAACCAAAGGTCAAGATATCGAAGTGAACAGCCTACCTTGTTTTGCTGTGCCTGGAGGTGGGGAGGTCGTTCTATTCCGATCCGAAGATCCAGCAGATGATGAAGACGGAGTCGGAGGTCCAACAACAAGCGGAGCAGAAGGATCTTGGTGGCCGGTACAGAAGCCACAAAGGAGTGACGCTCCAGCGGCGATTGCTGTGTCTTTGAATTGGCAGAATTTCAGGTGCCCCCCCCCCCCCCAGGCAGATAGCATAGGGCTGGGTGAAAACCAATGGGATCCCATTTTGGTTGGTAGGGCCACCCATTTTACAACCTATTCTTGTGGGGACTGGGATGTTCACTAGGGGCACGGGATTTTGACCCATAGCCATATCCAGCTAAGCCACATTTTGAGTCTTGCGGCTTGGGGGCTTGCGTACGGTGTTTGCCCCTGATGATTGTCATGTTGAGTTTGCTTTCAGCTGGGCTTTCCAGCCTTCGTTCATGCGAAGCCAGCTTGAGGCTTGAGCAACAGTGTGTCCAAAAAGCCTGCTTTGCGAGAATCAACGTCATCAATGCGTTTGGCATAAAGCAGCCCACAGGTTGCTTCCGCGGGTGAAT